CCTGACCTGCTCTTTGGGGCTGGTGGTGGGCTTCCCCACCAGCCCCAAAGAGCAGGTCGAAGGAACCTGAAGCCTGGAGAGCGAGAGGGTCAGTGCACACCGACCCCTCTCGCTCTCCAGGCTTCCAAAGTAGCCGCCTGAACGCACCTTAAACGGCACCTTGTTTTAGAGCGGGTAAACAAGAGGGGGAAAGTTCTCCCCCTCTCTGTGCAGCGCCTCCTGCTGCTTCACTGAAGGGGCGCTGGGCATGGAGGGGGAAAAAATTTTCTTGTTCTCCCCCCTCTAAAACAAAGTGTGTCCTATTGTCCGGTGCGTCCTATGGTGCGAAAAATACGGTAGTTAAGAGCTTAGGCAGCTTCGTCCCTGCATCCCTTGCACCCCCAGGTAAAGACAGCCCAGGCCCTGTCAGATGGTTTTTCCACATGTTTATCCACAATCTCCTTTCTTGTAACTTGAATCAATTGGTTTGAGTCCTGCCCTCCAAGGCAGGAGAAAACAAGCTTCTTCCCTCTTCCATGTGACAGCGCTTGAGATATTTGAAGATGGCTATCACATCTCCTCTCAGTCTCCTCTATTTCAGGCTGAACAGAATAAAAATTTGCTCATGCCACATTGAATTTATTTTATTGATCAGAAATACATTGGAAATTATTGTTATTCCAGGTTTGCAGTTTTTGGGAGCCAATTTGTTCAGCTACTAGGCCATTCGAGATACAGTGGTACCTCTGGTTATATACTTAATTTGTTCTGGAGGTCCGATCTTAACCTGAAACCGTTCTTAACCTGAGGTACCAATTTAGCTAATGGGGCCTCCTGCTGCCACCGCCATGAGATTTCTGTTCTCATCCTGAGGTAAAGTTCTTAACCCAAGGTACTATTTCCTGGTTAGCAGAGTCTGTAACCTGAAGCGTTTGTAACCTGAGGTGTTTGTAACCCGAGGTACCACTGTGGTTCCAAGCTGAGCACATTCCACCTTTTCACCATTATAACATCAAGATCCTTAGTGTCATCATCGTCACAATCGCCCTCTTCAAAGAACTGCAGGCGTTCAGCTTCCGAACCCTTGACCACTATGGGCTCCTCAGTCTCAGTCTCAGCCTGTGATGCATTTTCCTAGGTTTCAATGCCTTTGCCAGAGATTTCCTATCATCTCAACACTGCTGTTTCGCTAAAGAGTGCCCTGCACAAACAAACAACCCCTCGCAGCGCTTGATTTATAACAGAACACAACTACTTTATAATATGATCATGGAACCCCCAAAAATATAAAACAATGCAGCTGCATAAGAACTCGAATCAGGTCCAGCATAGAATTATTAATGAGCCTTTACCATATGTACCTTAAGTATGTACAGAAACTCAACGAGAGGCCTGAGCTTGCTTTTGCTAGGTAATCTCACTTATATTAAGTCCAATTTGTGAATAACAAGCTCTCATCTCATCAACGCAAAGTCTTTTCTGATTTCGATGCTATTCTACACTGAAATATCTGAATGTTTCTTTCCCTGTGCTTGAATCTCACAGCCACACAACCCATTCTTTCCTGACACACCATTCCTTTGAGAACCACTGATATAGATGTTAAATGGCAAAGGGGGCAGAATCTGTTGCTCACCTTGTGATCTACTGCAAGTGAAAGGTGGCAGGGGAAAGGTGAGTGTATCTGATGGGGAGAGATAGCCTGCTTTGCAGCTCAGAAACCAACCTCAAGCATCCTCACATTTCAGGACTGACAGAGTGCAAGAGCTTGAAAGGGTCAGCCCTCAATCTTACTCCCTTCTGGTCATTGGTTTTTGGGCCTCCCTGATCCAGAGCCAAATTATTGGTCCAACGCACCCTCAAGGATCTAGATCAAATAGAAATCCAAGCTTGTCGTTAAATTGCTTCAGGTGCTTAAACCTGTCCTCTAGGTGAGTATTGCAGCCTCTCCATTTGCAACAACCCTAGACAGCCAGTGCAAGAGAGAAATCCTGCTACATCTTCCAGTCCCTAAAACCCACTGCTCCACACACCCATCAGAAGAAAAGAGCCATGCAGTTCTGCAGCAGCCATCCTAGATGATCCTTTGATGCAAGCAGTGCAGGAAAGATGGAGCTCCTAATGGACCGCTCCACCAGACTGTCTCTTAGGGAGAGATAGGAAGCAGGGCTCAAGGCTTCTGCTTTTGCCGGAGGCCAAGCTGAATCAGGCACCTCCTGGCCCTGAACTGGGCCAGTGGGCCATGATTGTCTAGAAACTGGTAAGGTGTTCTGGTTTTTGTTTTCCTCTTCCCTTCCTGTCCTTTTTCGCTTGTGTTCCATGTTTAGTTTTTTGGTTTTTAAATTGTACATAAGCCACTCTGGAAGCCTTTTGGCTGGAAAACATAGTAGGGAGAAGCATATAATGGGGGCAATGGATATAAAACAACACACATAACAAAAACAATCATGTTAAGCAAAATGCATCCAAAAAGGTGCAGAGGAGGAGGAAAGCAAACTGAAACGTTTCTTTCTTGGTTGGTATGGCAACTGCAATTGAACAGAACAGTCCAACCAAAAGAGGTTGCATCAAACTGCACTATGGCCAAGCTGTTACCCAAAATTCCACTTCCTTTCTATCCAGGCGCCATGAAGTTGGGAGCAGCTTTTGTGAGATGAAGGGAAATCTGTTAATTGATATGGAAAGAGAACAGGATGAGAAAGATTTTTCTGCATGTAAATGCTGGGTGGGCTGATCTGCAAGATGAATAAATTGCCTAGGATGAGTTAAGAAAAAATGGCCTGGATGGTTCAGATGCTGAGAGCTGCAAGAAATACCTGTTTGCAGCATTTCCCACTCAGATGCACATATGTGTGTTTCAGCATATTTTTGGCACAGCAACACTATAAATAAAGAGAACCTCCTTGCTTCATCCAACTTCCTTCTGCTTTAGAGTGCCTTCCCTTTGGCAGAGATCTCAGAGAAAACTGCAGTCATGAGGTTCCTTTACCTGAGCTTTGCTCTGGTCTTCATCCTCTTCCACGTTGCTGCAGGTAAGAGAGCAGCTCAAGCTCAGGTGGGAGAGCATCTGCTGCAAATGCAGAAGGTCTCAGGTTGAGTCCCAGGTATTTCCCTGGTCGGCAACACTTAAGACCTTCTGCCTGTCAGTGAAGACAGCTATGAGCTTGATGGAACAACAGTCTGACTTGGCAGCTTCCTATCCTATCCAGCTGCTTAAAAGGGGTGGGGAGGAAAGTATTTAAAAACCTATTTCATAATGAAATTGAATTTGAATACATGACTTTTGCAAAAGCAGCAATGTTCAGGATGCAGCCTTAGCGACCAGGAAATTCCATGCTGGTCATTTATATTGCTTGGGAAAGTTTGGAAAGTTAGTGTCCATGATCCCCAAGTCCTTCCTAATTCCAGAGGTCCTGGATCTATGAAGAGTAAAAATCTGATGAAGGATTCCATTGTAGACCTAACCTTTGTTAAAGAATGCCCACAGTTGCCACCTCAGGACCCCATAAGTATAGCCAATGAAGAGATGGTGCCCACTGGGCAAATGGGTGCGCCTTACCCCCTCCTCATCTGGCTGGGAGTCAGGAAAGACCATAGCCATCACAGTTGGGTGTGAGCTGAGCAAGACACATTGGCAACACTACTGGGGAGATTGCAGAAAATACCATTCTCAGAGAGGGCACAAATGGCAAGGTATTTCTGAAGCTCAGAACAGCTGTAATTCTGATTAGCAGATGTTAAAAGCAAAGGGGAACCTTCAGTAGAATGGAATGAAGGCAGACTCAGTCACGTGTTATGTGGGTCTGTGGGTGCATTATCTGCTATTTTTTTCTCCCCTTCCATTAGCAACCTGTAAAATTTAGGTGGCAGCTGTGCTGAAAAGATCCCAGGAGCAGTAATAATAATAAACACAATTTTATTATTCATACCCCACCCAACTGGCTGGGTGCAGCTGAGTGTCAGCACCCTTACAAGGTTCAGGAATCAGTTGGAGTGTTTGCGTGCTGAGGTCCCCAAAACACCTCTACCCCAATAACTCACACATCACACATATTTTTTTGTTTAAGGTTTTTGGCATAATTTTGGCCACAACTTTATTAAAATACAAATGGTGAGTGGTTGCTTAGGCATTGGTTATGACTAGCTTCCCCCCCCCCCACCTTGGGGGACAGCACTGACTCCCGGATTCCAGCGAGAGCCAGTGTGGAGGAACAAGTTCAGGGATAACTGGAGCTGCGACACAGACCCTCAGCTTCTCCCCGCATGCTCCTAGGAGCTTACGCGGCCCGCACCGGATTCCAGGGGTTTGGACGAGAGGATGGTAAGCCCCTGAATTCCTTTAACGGAATTCCCATTCCGCAACAGCATTGAAGGGGCAGGCACAGCCAATCCATACCCCTCCACCAACCAATTTAAAGCAATGCCTAACCGCCAACCTTACAAGTTGTGACGATTTGCTACGCAGCAGGCAAAAACCAATTGGCACACACTAATCAGCCAAAAGGAAAAATTCCTACCAGGCCCCCGCACCAATGCAGATGACCCCATGACAGGCATAGCAAGGTCAAAGCACAAGCCCAATCAAGGGAGGGTGGGCGGGTGATCCGGTGCCTGCTGCAGGGATAAGTGATTTCCATTGAGTTCTTTTCGCAAAAGAGATAAATATGCAGTAAATAAATATATATAAAAACAAGAAGGTAAAGGTAAAGGACCCCTGACAGTTAAGTCCAGTCGTGAAAAAGTCTGGGGTTGGGTGTTCAGCTCGCTTTACTGGCTGAGGGAGCCCTCGTCTGTCTGCAGACAGTTTTTCCAGGTCATGTGGCCAGCATGACTAAGCTGCTTCTGGCAAAACCAGAGGAGCACACAGAAACGCTGGTTACCTTCCTGCTGCAGCAGTACCTATTTATAAACTTGTACTTTGACATGCTTCCGAACTGCTAGGTGGGCAGGAGCTGGGACCGAGCAACGGGAACTCAACCCATCGTGGGGATTCGAACAACGACCTTCCGGATGGTAAGCCCATGAGGACCGGTAAGATGCCCCCCATATCAACCATTCTATGTAACATTGATGATGTTGACCGGAGCATCAGTCAAATCAGGACTTCCCATGCCTGACAATCCAAATCTGTAAAACTCCACCATGAGGTCACCAGCTGGCCTCGGGTTAACCACGCTTTCACTCTCAGCCTCGATCTCCCCATCGGTATTATGGGACATAATAATACTGACTTGCTGTTACAGTAGGCTTTCAATATTTATTTATTTATTTATTTATTTACTCATTGCATTTATATCCCACCTTTTTCTCCATGGAGGTCAAGGTGGCTTCTATGGCTCTTCCTAATTTAATCCTCACAACATCCCTGCGAGGCAGATTAGGCTCAGAGTGAGTGACTGGCCCAAGACCACCCAGGGAGCCACATGATGAGGCTAGATTTGAAGGCTGGTCTCCCATTTCCTAGTCTAGGAACTCAGGCTACTACCCTGAAAGTGCTCTTCCAATGCTCAAAACAAAATGTCCATGAAATTAAGGTTTCTGTTTTGTACAAGAAGTCCTCTCAAATAATGACAATTTACTCCCCTCTCTTTTGCACAGATTTACTTCCATTTTGTAGAGTCTTGGGAGGATATTGCCAGGCCCCAAGGACTGTGAACTGTCCCTTTGGAGAGAATACATTGGGCTTCTGTGGCCCTCATGCACGCTGCTGTAGGAGTAAGTGATACCCATGAGTTGGTGGTCCCACTCACTTGTGAACGTTCATTCATTTTCAATCCTGATTTCCTGATTCTTGTTTCACAGGAGGAAGCAGAAGCAGGGCTTTCCTTGTGCTAAAGGAAATAGTCACGGGTCAGTTTATGGATCAGAGTAGCTGATGATACACACAGGGCATATTAATTCTATATTTAGAAGCACAAAGTTAGATTCAGTTCTGATGCAGCACTTCTAGGTTCTGCATCTTCTTTTAAGCATTAGGGCCTCAAGGTTTTCATCTGTCCACAGGGAATTTTGATACCACAGGTGTTCATATGGATGCAAACTGTGCAGGCTGCACTTGCTATGGGCATGAAAACTGGCAGTTCTGATCTAACTCTCCAAAATTTTAAGATAGTGCTCAGTAAGTGAAGATGAGTCAGTTGTCTGCTGCTGCTGAAAGAACGCAAGTATGATTTGGCCACAAAGAGTACTGCTTAATCCTCACCAGACCTCACCTGAAGTGGAAGAATACACCATAAAATACAGAAGAATAGGAGCAAGGAACCTTATGGTCCCAAAGGACCTGAACCAGGGGTGCATCCATCACCAAGGAATACTAGGAAGGCCAAGATGGTGATAGAAATTGCTTTATTTTAGAAATCTTAGAGAAATAAATAGATTTCTCATCTCCAGCAACTGCAATCTGAGGATGGAGATGAGAAATCATTTCATAGATCCATTCTTGTCTGTGGGCAGTTCTGAACCCAGATTTTAAGAAGGCAAACTACTGATTTGAGTGTCTCCCAAGGCAGTTGAAATTTAAGCCTCTGAAAACTTGTTTTTGTTTTGTTTTTGCAATAGAGAAAAAGACGCAGGAAATGAATGAATGAATGAATGATGTCCCTCCAAACTCGACCATACTATGTAAAATTGATGATGTTGACCGGCTTTTTAGCAAACCACGCTTTCACTCTGAGCCTCGATCTCTCCATCAGTATTATGGGACATAATAATACTGACTTGCTGTTACAGAAGGCTTTGAATATTTATTAACTCATTGCATTCATATCCCACCTTTTTCTCCATGGAGCTCAAGGTGCCTTCTGTGGTTCTTGCTAATTTAATCCTCACAACCTGAGAGGCCCAAGGCCACTCTGTGAGCCTCATGATGAGGCTGGATTTGAAGGCTGGTCTCCCATTTCCTAGTCCAGGAACTCAGGCTCTCATACTTGGAAGTGTTCTTCCAATACTCAAAACAAAACATCAGTCAAACAAATGTTTATGTTTTGCACAAGGAGTTCTTTCAAATAATGAAAATCTACTTCCCTCTCTTTTGCACAGATGAAACTACATTGTGTACAGTCTTGGGAGGATTTTGCCAGGGCCCAATCACTGTGAACTGTACCTTTGGAGAGATTACAAACGTCTCCTGTGGCCCTAATGCACGCTGCTGTAGGAGTAAGTGATACCCATGATTGGTCCCACTCACATGTGAATGTTCACTCATTTTTAATCCTGATTTCCTGATCTACACTCTACATCTTCACTGGAGGAAGCAGGGCTATATTTTTGCTAAAGGAAATAATCACTGAACAGTTTGTGGATCAGAGTAGCTGATAATACGCTCAGGGCATATTAATTCTATTTTTAGAAGTAAAAAGTTGGATTCAGTCTTGATGCAGCACTTCTAGGTTCTGCATCTTCTTTTAAGCAACAAAGATTCCCACTTCATTCTGCACTCACCAGAACTCACCTGAAGTACAAAAAATAATGTTGACCGGAGCATCAGTCAAATCAGGACTTCCCATGCCTGACAATCCAAGTCTGTGAGACTCCACCATGAGCTCACCAGCTGGCCTACTGATAACCACACTTTCACTCTCAGCCTCGATCTCCCCATCGACATTATGGGACATAGTAATACTGACTTGCTGTTACAGAAGGGCTTTGAATATTTGTTTGTTTGTTTGTTTGTTTATTGCATTTATGTCCCACCTTTTCCCCCATGGAGCTCAAGGTGCCTTCTGTGGTTCTTCCTAATTTACTCCTCACAACAACCCTGTGAGGCAGATCAGGCTAAAAGTGAGTGACTGGCCCAAGGCCACTCTGTGAGCCTCATGGTGAGGCTGGATTTGAAGGCTGGTCTCCCATTTCCTAGTCCAGGACCTCAGGCTCTCATACTTGAAAGTGCTCTTCCAATGCTCAAAACAAAACGCCCGTCAAATTAACGTTTCTGTATTGCACAAGATGTTCTCTCAAATGATGAAAATCAACTTCCCTCTCTTTTGCACAGATGAACCTCCATTGTGTACACTCTTGGGAGGATTTTGCCTGGCCCCAAGGACTGAGAACTGTACCTACGAAGAGATTACAAACGTCTCCTGTGGCCCTAATGCACGCTGCTGTAGGAGTAAGTGATACCCATGAGTTGGTCCCCCTCACATGTGAACGTTTGCTCATTTTTAATCCTGATTTCCTGATTTACACTCTGCATCTTCACTGGAGGAAGCCGAAGCAGGGCTTTTCTTGTGCTAAAGGGAATAGTGGTCAATCACTTTATAAATCAGGACATATTAACCCTATTTTTAGATGTCTAAATTTGGATTCAGTTTTGATGCAGCACTTCTAGGTTCTGCATCTTCTTTTAAGCATTGGAGCCTCAAGGTTTTCCTCTGTGCACAGGGAATTTTGATACCACAGATATTTCATATGAGTACAAACTGTGCAGGCTGCACTTCCCATGGGCAGTAACAACTGGTGGCTCTTATCTAACTTTCCAAAATGTTAAGACAACACTCAGTACATGAGGATGAACCAGCCGTCTGCTGCTGAAAGAACGCATATGTGATTTGGCAACAAAGAGTCCCACTTCATTCTGCACTCACCAGACTTCACCTGAAGTACCAAAGTACATCACAATATCCAGCAGAACCGGAGCTAGAAACCTCATGGTCCCTAAGGACCTGAACCAGGGAGGAATTCTTGAATGCCAACAAGGTGATAGTTACAGGTAGGTAGCCTTGTTGGTCTGCCGTAGTCAAAAGAAAATAAAAAAAATTCCTTCCAGTAGCACCTTAGAGACCAACTAAGTTTGTTATTGGTATGAGCTTCCGTGTGCATGCACACTTCTTCAGATCCACACAATAGTGATCGTTCATTCTGCCTCTTAGAAATACTGGAGAAATGAATTGAAAAGCAACTGCAATCTGAGGCTGGAGATGAGAAATAATTTAATAGATCTATTCTAGCCTGTGGCCAGTTCTGAACCCACATTTTAAAAAGGAAAACGACTGATTTGACGGTCTCCTAAGTCAAGAGACCAGAAGGGTACAAGATTTGAAAGCTGTTTGTTTTGAAGAACATTGGAGGAGCTCAGCATGTTTAGCCTGGAGAAGAGAAGGTTAATTTGAGGGAGAGACATGATTGCAGCCTCTAAATATTTGCACAGCTGCCATGTGGAAGTTGTTCCAGAGGACAGGACGAGAACCAAAGGGGTGGAAATGAGAGAGAAGCAGGTTTTGAGAGACAATCTGTGAGGGATCCTGTTCTTGAAGATCCTGCATTGAACAAGGGTTGGACTAGTTGATCTCCAGGTCATTTTTGGCTCTCCATCCAGCTGTTAACTCACTGAACTTTCTGCTAATAAATCACTTTTTAGTAGGATTATTTTCTTCTCCAGATCTTCTTTTCTTTTCTAAAAAACCACACAAACTAATTTTTATTTAGGAAGGTTTATTTATTACTTCAATTTTTATCCTGCTCTTCTTCCCAAAGGAGACTTGGAAACAGATATTTCTAATCACTTCATATAGAAATATTCATATTAAACTATTTTTAATTATGTTATTTATTTGATTTATATACCACCCTTCATCAAAAGATCCCAGGGTGGTTTACGAGATAAACACAAAAGATAAAAGCACAGATCTATAAGGACAAAAAATTGAAAAGCGATTTTTGTTGCATGCCTTTTCTGATTATAAATTTCAGACCAGGGGCTGTTTCTCTTCTTTTTACAAATTGCTATCTGCAACTCCCGGTGAACTGTTACTTTGTTTTTGTTGTTCATTTTTTGCAAAAGAGATCAAAATACAATAGATAAATAAGGTCCCTCTAAATACACCCATTCTGTCAAAAAATCATGTAATTCAGTCAAATTAAGACTTTCTTCTCCATCCCTGTCCATCTAAATCAGTGACCATCTTGCTGTCCACGACAAGGTGTCTGTTGGGTTCTGTGCTATGGCAAGGCTAGGGAAAATTGGGGCAAGAGGAGACAAGGTGCAGGCTGCCCTCTGAGGAATACAGCTCTATAGCTGCTCCATCAAGGAACAAGCTGAATTGGGGGCTTTATGTTGTAGCAGCAGCAGCCGAATAGAAAAACAATGCGGTGTAGGAGTTAGAGTGCTGGAGGAGGACCTGGCAGATCAGGGTTCTAGTCCCCACTTGGCCAAGAAGCTCACCTTGGGCCAGTCACTGCTTCTCAACCTAATCTACCTAACAGGGTACTTATGAAGATAAAATGGAGCCAAGAGAGTTATATACACCATGTGGAGCTCCTTGGAAGAAAAGTGCAATATAAATATCAGAATAAAAGATAAAATAAGAGTTAGAACCACCTTTCCTGCAAGATGCTGTGTCAATTTGAGGGTCCAGCCTTTGCCATCACCTCCTACCTCAATGGAGTGTGGGATCCTCAGGTCTCCCTGGGTCTTTGTGTGGTGGAGTCCTCAGAGTCAGTGGCTGCCAGTGGCCCATCCTGACATCCAGGATGGGTCAGAGGATGTCAGCAGTGATGTTCCTCTGAGAGCTCTTCTGGGGCTGGGCCTGCATGTCCTCTTCCTTTCTGCTACAGATTCCTTAAATGTTCCATTGAATCCTTCCAACACTACAATTCTATGATCCTCCCTCATCTCCTGAAGGTGAGCAATCCGACTCCAGGCTCATGAAAGTGCCATCAATTATAGATTTCTTTCTTTCTTTTATGCAGGATAATTATCAATGTAAGAGGAAATGGGGGTTCTGCCAGGAGGAACTCACCAAATGCTGCCCGCCTGGTCTAACTCTTCCGGCTTACTGTGGCTTCAGTGCACAATGATGTGCCCTTGAGTGACATCAGTGAGCAGCCCACATCCATGGTTGAGAATGTCTGATTGCTACGCTGATTCTTCTGGATCTTTGCTTGTGGAAGTGGGCCTGATCAATCCATTTGTGAAGCAAGCAATGAAACAAAGATCAGTCTGTTCAGATGATCATCTAATTAAACACATATTAACCTGCAAATTCGAAATTGTATTTTTTTCATTTTTTAAAAAAGCATCTATGATTAAATATGACCCTCCTCCTGTGGAAGTGCATCATATCTGCCCAAGAGCCCTCTTGACTGAAGTTCTCATCCCTGTGTCCCAGGAGGAGATAACTGCAGCCAGTGCTTTCCATGCACCCAGGCAGAGCTTGGGTTTCGCTGGCCAGTTGGTTATGTGAACACGGGTGGGATAGGCTGAACTCAACCCAAACTGGAGCCATGACCTAACTGGAGCTGATTATTCAGGAGCCACTGCCTTGTGGGTGCCCATAGGTCATTGAGAGTGGTATTTAATGCTGCTGAATGCACATCAGGTTTATTGATTTCTATGGGTGTACTCTTAGTGGGACTCGGAATTTTCTGAAGGGGTGTTTTCTGGAATTTTGAGAATGAAAGAAGGAACTCAGGGAGGTGCCAGGGAGGAGGTGGGATTGAAGAGTCGGGAAGGGCGATTGCTGCCTAGTGATCAAGATCCCAGATTCAATCACTGATCTGGGTCTTTCTTTTCAACTTTAATTTACATACATTAATTCATAACATAGCCAAGTATAAAATAAAATAGAAGCAGAAAAGAAAATTTAAAGTTCAACACATAGGAACACATATCCATGCCACTTTCAATTTATTTGTTTAGACATTTCTATCCCACCTTTCCCCAAAGAATTCAAGGCAATGTACATCATTTTCTCCCATGAGCCCATGTCTCCCAGGTTTTGAGCAATACCACGCTTGTGCCCTTAGTTCCTTTGTCACCACTACCTAAAAGGCCCTCTGCCTACTTCCCTGTAACCTCTCCTCTCCTAATGAAGGAACCGCTGTTTATGTTAGGAAACCAGGTTGGGGCAGGGGGCACTGAAATGGACTGAGGAGGGGTTTTTTGGTGGGGGCGGGGAGGTAGTGTCAGTGGCTACCTTGAGTGGGCTCAGCTCATCCTCATGCTGCTTATAATTTCCTATCCCTCTCCCTTTGGCTTCAACCCACACAGAATAAACCAGGGCTTGTGGGAATTGCAGTTCATGGATGATGGGAATAGTAGTCCAACAACAATCGGAGGGTCACAGGTCCACTATGCCTAATGTCAAGTCAAGATTGCTTATTCATCAACAGTTCTGATTCAACTGGGACATCCCGGAATTACAGAAGCTATCCCAGTTTCTGATTGGATGTCTTGGTTTTTGTGCTGAGCTTCCTTGCCAGTCATCTGGCTCTTGTGAGAGCTCAGCACCCAAAGACAAATGTCTTTGGCAAAAAAAAAAAAGGCAGCTGCGCTTTAGTCCATTGAAGCAGAGGAGGAGGGGGAGCTGCTGGTGATGCAAGTCAGGCTGCACCCACTGGGCCCAGTTGCCATGCTTCCTCTGACCAATGCTGCCCCCACTGGAGGAGGAGGAGACAACAACAACAGGGGGCTGAAGATGGCAAGCCCCAGCTCATTTATCCGGAGGTATGGCACTGAAAGACTCAAATCCCAAGTTTAATTGGCAGAATGTTGGAGGATCTGAGATTTTGTTATCTAACAATCCATCCAGGTTCCCTGTGCTAATACTTGGATGTCTGGCAGAAATTCCAGTAAAATGGGCAAACCTCAGGTGTGTCATAGTTTAGAAACACTGATGATATGTACTGAGTTGAATAGGATCTAAAAGGCAGCAGTCTGATTGGTCCTAGAACAATAGGGTCCAGAATGCAGCAGTCTGATTGGTCCTAGAACAATGCAGCAGTATGATTGGTCCGCAGGAGCCACCCAATCCAGCTCCAGGTGGAAGTTAATCCACAACCTGATTGGCCTACAGGAGAATCCCAGAATTAGCCAATCACGTGCGGCCCATTGTGTAAATAATGTATCTAAAGCAGATATTTGGGGAAACTTTCATTCCTCACTACTATGAGCTGAATAAAGAGCATGAAATCCACACTCGACTCCGAGTATATTTCAACTGAACAGAACAGAAACCTGGATTCCAGAAACAGCTGAACCAACCGTTTGCCAAATTTACTTCCAGATCTTCTGTTATGGTTGCTCGTGCACAGAGACATTGGAGGACAGCCAATGCTAGCCCTACTCATGATATTCTATAAATTGGGCAAAGTCGGTATTGCTTCATATAAGTAACAGTGACTTTATTTATTCAGCTAAGAACTATCAGTTCCATATTTGCACAGGGTCAATTAGATATTTAGGTATAATCATACCAATGGATATTACCGAATTATTAGCATGTGATTCAAACAAAGTAATCCATAAGTTTTCTTTTCATATTAATAGATGGGAGTCATTTAACCTGCCCTTATGCGGAAGGGTTAATACTCTCAAAGAACATTATTCCCAGAATAATCTACAGTGGGAGTAGAATTCCAGGTCATATGACTGGTAAATATTTCCATAAAAGGAATTCCTTAATTAGGAAATGTCTATGGGGTTCTGCAACTGCAAGAATATCCTTGCTAAAAATGCAATTATCAATTAAAAAATGAGGAATTGGCATTCAAGAAGGATATTGGCCAGAGGAGCAGAGGAGGGCTGTCAAATGATCAAGGCTCTGGAGACCAGGCCTTATGTGGAAGACGGCTGAAGGAGTTGAGTATGTTGAGCCTGCAAATGAGGAGACTGAGAGGAGATAGAATCATAGAATCATAGAATCATAGAGTTGGAAGAGACCACAAGGGCCATCGAGTCCAACCCCCTGCCAAGCAGGAAACACCATCAGAGCACTCCTGACATATGGTTGTCAAGCCTCTGCTTAAAGACCTCCAAAGAAGGAGACTCCACCACACTCCTTGGCAGCAAATTCCACTGTTGAACAGCTCTTACTGTCAGGAAGTTCTTCCTAATGTTTAGGTGGAATCTTCTTTCTTGTAGTTTGGATCCATTGCTCCGTGTCCGCTTCTCTGGAGCAGCAGAAAACAACCTTTCTCCCTCCTCTATGTGACATCCTTTTATATATTTGAACATGGCTATCATATCACCCCTTAACCTCCTCTTCTCCAGGCTAAACATGCCCAGCTCCCTTAGCCATTCCTCATAAGGCATCGTTTCCAGGCCTTTGACCATTTTGGTTGCCCTCCTCTGGACACGTTCCAGTTTGTCAGTGTCCTTCTTGAACTGTGGTGCCCAGAACTGGACACAGTACTCCAGGTGAGGTCTGACCAGAGCAGAATACAGTGGCACTATTACTTCCCTTGATCTAGATGCTATACTCCTATTGATGCAGCCCAGAATTGCATTGGCTTTTTAGCTGCCGCGTCACACTGTTGGCTTATGTCAAGTTTGTGGTCAACCAAGACTCCTAGATCCTTTTCACATGTACTGCTCTCAAGCCAGGTGTCCCCATCTTGTATTTGTGCCTCTCATTTTTTTGCCCAAGTGCAATACTTTACATTTCTCCCTGTTAAAATTCATCTTGTTTGTTTTGGCCCAGTTCTTTAATCTGTCAAGGTCGTTTTGAAGTGTGATCCTGTCCTCTGGGGTGTTAGCCACCCCTCCCAGTTTGGTGTCATCTGCAAATTTGATCAGGATGCCCTTGAGTCCATCATCCAAGTCATTGATAAAGATGTTGAATAAGACCGGGCCCAAGACAGAACCCTGTGGCACCCCACTAGTCACTCTTCTCCAGGATGAAGAGGAACCATTGATGAGCACCCTTTGGGTTCGGTCAGTCAGCCAGTTACAAATCCACTGAGTGGTAGCATAGTCAAGACCGCATTTTACCAGCTTCTTTACAAGAATATCATGGGGCACCTTGTCAAATGCCTTGCTGAAATCTAGGTAGGCTACATCCACTGCGTTCCCTTCATCTACCAGGCTTGTAATTCTGTCAAAAAACGAGATCAGGTTAGTCTGACATGACTTATTTTTCAGAAATCCATGCTGACTATTGGTGATCACAGATTCCTTAATTAGGAAATGTCTATGGGGTTCTGCAACTGCAAGAATATCCTTGCTAAAAATGCAATTATCAATTAAAAAATGAGGAATTGGCATTCAAGAAGGATATTGGCCAGAGGAGCAGAGGAGGGCTGTCAAATGATCAAGGCTCTGGAGACCAGGCCTTATGTGGAAGACGGCTGAAGGAGTTGGGTATGTTGAGCCTGCAAATGAGGAGACTGAGAGGAGATATGATAGCCATCTTCAAATATCACAAGGGCTGTCACTTTGAAGAGAGAGCAAGCTTGTTTTCTCATGCCTTGCAGGGTAGGACTCTAACCAATCGGTTCAAGTTAAAAGAAAAGGGATTAGATATATGGGGGAAAAATAATGAAAGAAACATCTGTTCAACAGTGGAGCGGTCTCCCTCAGGAGGTTGTGGACGCTCCTTCCTTGGAGGTTTTTAAGCAGAGGTTGGGTGGCCATCTGTCAGGGATGCTTTAGCTGAGATTCCTGCATTGCAGGGGGATGGAGTAGATGACCCTCAGGGTCCCTTCCAATTCTCTGATTCTATAATTCTATCAATATATAAAGAAACCTTATTAGGTACTTTGTTTATATTCCATATGGCTAGTTGGGTAATATCCTTTGGTATGATTATACCTAAATATCTAATTGATTCTCTGCAAATATGGAACTGATAATTCTTAGCTGAATCAATAAAGTCACCTTTACTTCCAGGAAGCAATTCCGACTTTGCCCAATTTATAGAATATCAAGAAGTTTGACCAAAATGATCTACCATTTGCATCAATCTTGGAAAAGAAGTCATGGAGAAAGGAAATGAAATTTACTGCTCCTTTTACACTTATAGAAAATCATTTTAAAATGAGGTGCAGGTGGTATTGAATGCCAAATAAACTGGCCAAGATGTATAAAAATGTGTGAAGTAAATGTTGGAAATGTAAGCAAATAGATGGCTCATTCCTTTATATGTGGTGGACATGCAAAAAAGCTCCAGGTTTTGGGGAAAAAATATATAATGAAATGAAGAAAATGTTGAAATGGGCTATTCCCAAAAAGCCTGAAACTATTTATGTATAGTAGCTAGAATATTATATGCCCAGAAATTAAGAGATCACAATGATGAATGGAAGAATGGAACAAGGAGGTTCTCTCTACTTAAAAAAACGATGCTGAAACACATATTTGTGCATCTGAGTGGGAAATGCTGCAAGCAGGTATTTCCTGCAGCTCTCAGCATCTGAACCCTCCAGGCCATTTTTTCTTAACTCACCCTAGGCAATTTATTCATCTTGCAGACCATCCCAAGATTTATCTGCAGAACAATCTTTCTCATCCTGTTCTCCTTCCATACCAATTAACAGATTTCCCGTCATCTCACAAAAGCTGTTCCCAACTTCATGGCGCCTGGATAGAAAGGAAGTGGAATTTCGGGTAACAGCTTGGCCATAGTGCAGTTTGATGCAACCTGTTTTGGTTGGACTGTTCAGTTCGACTGCAGTTGCCATACCTGCCAAGACAGAAACGTTTCAGTTTGCTTTTCCCCTGGTCTGCACATTTTTAGATGCATTTTGCTTAACATGCTTGATATTGTGATGCATATAGTTTTATGTCCATTGCCCCCATTATATGCTTCCTCCCCCAGCACCCACATAAATTAATGACTTGATCCCATCCTTCCAAAAATATAAACAAGAAGAACAACAAATCTATAAAAAAACCCAACACCCCCAAAATGTGTGGAGAAACCTGTTAGTAGAAAGATTTTTAAAATTGTTTTGATTAATTGTACTCTGTTTTTCAGCCAAAAGGCTTCCAGAGTTACTTATGTACAATTTAAAAAGCAAAAAACTAAAAAACTAAACATGGCACACAAGCGGAAAAGGAAAGGAAGGGAAGAGGAAAATAAAAACCAGAACTCCTTCCCAGTTTCTAGACAATCCTGGCCTGCTGGCCCAGTTCAATACCAGTGTATGCCTAGGTATTATCAAAATGTATACGTACTGTTTCACTAAAGGACTTTTGACTTTGTGCCCTTTGCCTGCCCCACAACCTCCTGCCCCACGGACTCGCCCAGTGCCCGCCCACGGTATTTCTCACTTAACATTCATCATTAAATGGGGGAATGCAGCTTGTGGAATTCATAGCATGTGCTCTAGGCACGTTTTTGAAGAAATGGAAAATTAAAATCGCGTGCTGAAAAACGCCAGTAGTTAGTCAAAGAAAATGCCGACAATTAACGACAATAAACATTTTTTAAATGATTTCTCTAAATGAATTTGAACAGTAAGTGATGAAAATAAAATGCGCCGTTGTGAATGACAAGTGCTGCTGCTGGCGCGGCGCGACTTTGAGCAGAAAGTCAAAAGTCCTTTAGTGAAACAGTAGGTATGCATTTGATAATACCTAGGTATATATGTATTTTGTTTTTCTAGCTTGATCAAAATTATTTCTTATTTCGTAACATGTAGATACCGTATTTTTCGCTCTATAGGATGCACTTTTTCCCCTTCAAAAATGAAGGGGAAATGTGTGTGCGTCCTATGGAGCGAAGATGCCATAGCCCCGCGACCCTCTCCCGGCTGGAGAGGTGACGCGCGGCTATGGCAGGAGCCTCTACAGCCCCGCGTCACCTCTCCAGCCGGGAGAGCGCGCGCAGGGCCAAAGCAGCCCCGCGACCCTCTCCCGGCTGGAGAGGTGACGCGCAGCTATGGCAGGAGCCTCTATAGCCGCACGTCACCTCCCCAGCCGGGAGAGCGCGCGGGGCTAAAGAAGCCATAGCCCTGCGACCCTCTCCCGGCTGGAGAGGTGACGCGCGGCCATGGCAGGAGCCTCTCCGCTGCGCCTTTCGCTGCTCCTGACCTGCTCTTTGGGGCTGGTGGTGGGCTTCCCCACCAGCCCCAAAGAGCAGGTCGAAGGAACCTGAAGCCTGGAGAGCGAGAGGGGTCAGTGCACACCGACCCCTCTCGCTCTCCAGGCTTCCAAAGTAGCCGCCTGAACGCACTTTAAACGGCACCTTGTTTTAGAGCGGGAAAACAAGAGGGGGGAAAGTTCTCCCCCTCTCTGTGCAGCGCCTCCTGCTGCTTCACTGAAGGGGCGCTGGGCAGAGAGGGGGAAAAAAATTTTCTTGTTCTCCCCCCTCTAAAACAAAGTGTGTCCTATTGTCCGGTGCGTCCTATGGTGCGAAAAATACGGTAGTTAAGAGCTTAGGCAGCTTCGTCCCTGCATCCCTTGCACCCCCAGGTAAAGACAGCCCAGGCCCTGTCAGATGGTTTTTCCATATGTTTATCCACAATCTCCTTTCTTGTAACTTGAATCAATTGGTTTGAGTCCTGCCCCCCGAGGCAGGAGAAAACAAGCTTCTTCCCTCTTCCATGTGACAGCGCTTGAGATATTTGAAGATGGCTATCACATCTCCTCTCAGTCTCCTCTATTTCAGGCCGAACAGAATAAAAGTCTGCTCATGCGACACTGAATTTATTTTATTGATAAGAAATACATTGGAAAGCAAACAACTCCTCACAGCACTTGATTTATAACACAAAACACAACTACTTTATAGTAGGATGATAGAACACCCCAAAAATATGAAACAAAGAAGCTGCATAAGAACCTGCAAAGGAGCCTTTTTTGAAGGAATGGGTTTCCCAAACCTAAACCTGACTGTGCAGTCAGTCTGAAACAGGCCCCAAAATCCCCATTTTTCCTTCCCCAAGGGTCCATTAGCTAAAATCCATTAACTTGAGGAGTTGAGCTCATTTATAACAGGAACCCAGCTGTATAAACAAAGCCCTCTCCTTTATCAGTACGTGACGCTTAATGGATGGACTTGTCAGTTCCGAAGTGGAGACGGGACAGCAGAGCTGGGGCTTATCTTATCTTATCTTGCGGGTTGTAAATATCCTGACACACTGATGCACAGGCCTTGCAAGACACCCCTGCACTCAGGGATGGTGCCAGGAGTGCTCTTAGAGTTGGTGACCTTCTTACCCCAAGATAAAGAATACAGGAACAGGAACATCCTTTTATGGTCAAGAGTACAGGAACAGGAACAACTGTTTATGGTCATGGATGTCAACTTCTGTGGATAAGCTGACGTGGCTGGAGTCCTGGGGAGGGGGCAAGGGGACCAGAAAGGATATATAAGCTGTGTGTAACCGCTCCTTAAGCGCTCTTGCTGTGAACTGACCACGCAAGTGCCTTTCTGCTGCTCCGGAGAGCAGAAATACAGAACTCTTTCTCTGAACCATCCTCGGTTTCTTTCGACTCTTTCCTCCCTCTTTGGAAGCAACGCTCACCCAACCAATCGGGACACTCTAATAAGGCTACATTTTGATACTATACTACACTGAAATGTCTAAATGTTTCTTTGATTGTCCTTGAATCTGCCAGCCACACATGCCATCCTTTCCTGACACACCAGTGTGGCACAACACATCACTCCTTTGAGAACCACTGATATAGATGTTAAATGGCAAAGGGGGCAGAATCTGTTGCTCATCTTGTGGTCTACTGCAAGTGAAAGGTGGCAGGGAAATGTGAGTGTATCTGTTGGGCAGAGATATCCTGCTTTGGAGCTCAGAAACCAACTTCAAGCATCCTCACATTTCAGGACTGACAAAGCATGGCAACTTGAAAGGTCAAGCTTGAATCTTACTTCCTTCCGGTCATTAGTTTGTGGGTCTCCCTGATCCTGAGCCAGATCCAGGCTTGTCATATAAACTGCTCCATGTGCTTAAATCTGTCCTCTAGGTGAGTATTGCAGCCTCTCCATTTGCAACAACCATAGACAGTGCAAGAGAGAAATCCTGCTATACCTTCCAGTCCCTAAAACCCACTGCTCCACACACCCATCAGAAGAAAAGAGCCATGCTGTTATGCAACAAACATCCTAGATGATCCTTTCATGCAAGCAGTGCAGGAAAGATGGAGCTCCTAATGGACCACTCCACCAGACTGTCTCTTAGGGAGAGATAGGAAGCAGGGCTCAAGGCATCTGCTTTTGCTGGAGGCCAAGCTGAATCAGGCACCTCCTCGGCCTGAACTGGGCCAGCTGACCATGATTGTCTAGAAATTGGCAAGGAGTTCTGGTTTTTGTTTTCCTCTTCCCTTCCTGTCCTTTTCCACTTGTGTGCCATGTTTGGTTTTTTGGTTTTTAAATTGTACATAAGCCACTCTGGGAGCCTTTTGGCTGAAAAGCAGAGTAAAACTGATCAAAACAATTTTAAAATGTTTCTACTAACAGGTTTCTCCTCACTTTTTTGGAGTGCTGGATTTTTTTAAAATAGATTTGTTGTTCTTGTTTATATTTTTGGAACGATGGGATCAAGTCATTAATTTATGTGGTTGTTTGGGGGAGAATGGGGGCATAAAATGTACATAAAACTGCATGCAATACAAAAAACAAGCCTGTTAAGCAAAACGCTTATTGTTTAGAAATTGGTAAGGAGATCTGGTTTTCGTTTTCATCTTCCTTTCTTCTACTTTTCCGCTTGTGTGCCCTGTTTTGTTTTGGTTTTTAAATTGTATGTTAGTTACTCTGGGGGCTTTTTGGCTGAAAAGCAGAGTAAAGGTAAAGGGACCCCTGACCATTAGGTCCAGTCGTGGCCGACTCTGGGGTTGAGGCGCTTATCTCACTTTATTGGCCGAGGGAGCCAGCATACAGCTTCTGGGTCATGTGGCCAGCATGACTAAGCCGCTTCTGGCTAACCAGAGCAGCACACGGAAACACCGTTTACCTTCCCACCAGAGAGGTACCTATTTATCTACTTGCACTTTGACATGCTTTCAAACTGCTAGGTTGGCAGGAGCAGGGACCGAGTAATGGGAGCTCACCCTGTCGTGGGGATCCGAACTGCCAACCTTCGGATTGGCAAGTCCTAGGCTTTGGGGTTTAACCCACAGCGCCACCCACTTCCCTTTGAAAAGCAGAGTACAACTGATATAAAGAATTTAAACAATGTTTCTACCAACAGGTTTCTCCTCTCACCTTCTGGGTGTTGTTCGTTTGTGTTTATAACTTATGAATTATGGGAAAAGGTAATTAATTTATGTGGGGGGGAGCAGATAATGGGGGCAATGGACATAAAACTATATGTATCACAATAACAAGCATGTTAAGCAAAATGCATCTAAAAATGTGCAGATCAGGGGAAAAGCAAACTGAAACATTTCTTTCTTGGAAGGTATAGCAAGTGCAGTTGAACTGAAGAGTCCAACCAAAAGAGGTTGCATCAAACTGCATTAGGGCCAAGCTGTTACCCAAAATTCCACTTCTTTTCTATCCAGGCGCCATGAAGTTGGGAGCAGCTTTTGTGAGATGACAGGAAATCTGTTAATTGATATGGAAGGAGAACAGGATGAGAAAGATTGTTCTGCAGATAAACCTTGGGATGGTCTGCAAAATAAATAAATTGCCTAGGATGAGTTAGGAAAAAATGGCCCGGATGGTTCAGATGCTGACAATTGCAGGAAATACCTGCTTTGCAGCGTTTCCCACTCAGATGCACAAATGTGTGTTTCAGCATCTTTTTGGCACGGCAACACTATAAGTAGAGGGAACCTCCTTGTTCCATCCAAACTTGACTTCATTCTGCCTTAGAGTGCCTTGCCTTTGGCAGAGAGCTCAGAAGAAACTGCAGCCATGAGGTTTCTTCACCTGAGCTTTGCTCTGGTTTTCATCATCTTCCACATTGTTGCAGGTAAGAGGGCAGTTCAAGCTCAGGTGAGGGAGAGCATCTGCTGCAAATGCAGAAGGTCTCAGGTTCAATCCTAGGTATTTCCCCGGCCGGAAACCCTGAAAAACTGCTATGTCAGTGTAGACCATTCTCTCTTTTGTGTAGTATAATTCTTTATTATTATTTTTTCAAACACATACACAAGTTTCTATATTACAGTTATTTTAGCATTTTTCCACCACTGCTTTTTTCCTGCCCATGATTTCATTTGACTATCGACTATCTCTTTTTCCCCCCAAAATAATTTTTATTAACAGGCCAATCAAATCACATTAATCCCAAATCACATTAATTCCAAATTACACAGTCAATTTTTAAAAAAAATTTGGGGGTACCCATACTTCGAGCTCAGAAAGGGATCCAAACATCTCTCTTGCTGCTGCTTTGATGTACACAGTTCTGTCAAAATAGTATTCACAGTTCTGTTCAATCTTCTCTTTTGTTATTTTCCTCATCTTCTTGTTGTTATCATATATTCCTTTCTTTGTGATCTCTGGTAGTCTCCACAAGCGGGTTGAAAACAAAAGTTATTATATCCTGTGTGGATTTTACACTCCTCCAAGAGCCATATCAAAATAGACAGACGCCATTTCTGTACCTCCGTACAAAACATTCCCAAAGTCTGTCCGTTAATTTCCACAGGCCTGCCAGTCTCTCCTCAATTTTCTCAGGGGGCTCTGCCAGGTCAAACTCACAGTCCGATATAATAACCAACCATGGTCCTCCTCCCCCTCGATCGTCCTGTGGCCAGGCCTGCCATAACAAATCTCTTTTTAACTGCGTCACAAAGAGCTTCCATTCCTTTCCCGATGTTCCCACAAGCCATGTCTTTGATTAGTAATTTATTTCCACACAGTTCTTAATTATCCTGCTTGTAATCAGTAATTGCAACGATTCTTTCTTGGGGGGGGGTTATTAGGTACTCACATAAGATAAAAAAAGAAAAGTTCCCCCCCCTTTCCAGTCCCGCTCCGACATACCGATCCTTTGATGAATCTTCTTCTTGATTTATGAGTCCAGCCTGTCACTCCACTTCACAGAGATCACTTTAATTAGCAGTCTTATCTCCCGATCTTCACTCGAAATATGTGCATTTGCTTCTCTCTAATTGTTTATTTTGAGCTCCTGCAACCAGACGCGCAATCAGTGACAGCTTCAGGGAGAGCCGTCTCGCACAAGGGCTGTGTGCCTAGTGCCCTCACCCCCTTCTTTCGAATCTGGGGGTGATTTATGGCAACCGCAGGCAAGGCAGTGTTCCCCATTCCCTTGGGGTAACAAGGGAGGCTGCATAATCCCATATCAGCCTCTTAATTACTTCGTGTGAGCCGGAGAGATGGAATTGTCGACCATCTTCCAATGCGCCCCTAGCGGCCCCCCGACTATCGACTATCTCAACTGGCTGCTTAAAAAGCGGTTGTTGAGGAGGAAAATATTTAACTACGTATTTAATAATGAAATTGAATTCAAATACATGACTTTTGCAAAAGCAGCAATGTTCAGGATGCAACCTTAGCGACCAGGAAAGTTCCATGGTGGTCATTTATATTGCTTGGAAAAGTTTAGAAAGGTTAGTGTCCATGATCCCCAAGTCCTTCCTAATTCCAGAGGTCCTGGATCTATGAAGAGTAAAAATCTGATGAAGGATTCCATTGTAGACCTAACCCAGCAAGTTTCTTTGTTAAAGAATGCCCACAGTTGCCACCTCAGGATCCCATGAGCATAGCCAATGAAGAGATGGTCCCACTGGGCAAATTGGTGGGCCTTACACTCTTCTCACCTGGCTGGGAGCCGAGAAAGACTATAGCCAGCACAGTTGGGTGTGAGCTGAGCTAGACACATTGGCAACACTACTGGAAAGATTACAGAAAATACCATTCTCAGAGAGGGAACAAATCGCAAGGTATTTCTGAAGCTCAGAACAGCTGTAATTCTGATTAGCAGATGTTGAAAACAAAGGGGAACCTTCAGTAGAATGGAATAAAGGCTGACTCAGTCACCAGTTATGTGGTTCTGTTGGTGCATTATCTGCCCATTTTCCTCCCCTTCCATTGTTGTTGTTTAGTCGTTTAGTCGTGTCCGACTCTTCGTGACCCCATGGACCAGAGCACGCCAGGCACTTCTGTCCTCCACTGCCTCCCTCAGTTTGGCCAAATTCATGCTGGTAGCTTCAAGAACACCATCCAACCATCTCATTCTCTGTCGTCCCCTTCTCCTTGTGCCCTCCATCTTTCCCAACATCAGGGTCTTTTCCAGGGAGTCTTCTCTTCTCATGAGGTGGCCAAAGTATTGGAGCCTCAGCTTCACGATCTGTCCTTCCAGTGAGCACTCAGGGCTGATTTCCTTAAGAATGGATACGTTTGATCTTCTTGCAGTCCATGGGACTCTCAAGAGTCTCCTCCAGCACCAATCTTACATTCCAGGTTCCTATGCAATATTTTTCTTTACAGCATTGGACTTTCCTTTCGCTTCCATGCATATCCACAACTGAGCGTCCTTTCGGCTTTGGCCCAGCCGCTTCATCAGCTCTGGATCTACTTGTACTTGTCCTCCGCTCTTCCCCAGTAGCATGTTGGACACCTTCCGACCTGAGGGCTCATCTTCCAGCGTCATAACTTTTATATGCCTGTCTTTGTCCATGGAGTTTTCTTGGCAGGGATACTGGAGTGGCTTGCCGGTTCCTACTCCAGGTGGATCACGTTTGGTCAAAACTCTCCACTATGACCTGTTCATCTTGGGTGCCCTGCTCGGCATAGTTCATAGCTTCTCTGAGTTCTTCAAGCCCCTTCGCCACGGCAAGGCAGTGATCCATGAAGGGGTCCCTTTCCATTAGCAACCTGAAATTTAGGTGGCAGCTGTGCTGAAAAGATCCCAGGAGCAGTAATCATCATCATCATAATAATTTTATGATTTATACACCACCCAAGTGGCTGGGTGCAGCTAAGTGCCAGCACCCTTACAAGGTTCAGGAATCAGCTGGAGTGTCTGCAGAGAAGGAGGACCGATCTGACCCTTGCTAATGTTGGCCAATGAAATAGTAGTTAGCAGGTTGAGAGGCAGCAGAAGCCTGTAAAAGTTGGTCATCCCATTAAATACGCAGGGTTCTAGTTTTGAAAAAAAGTAGTTGGCAACCCCTTTGCCCCCTTTAAACGAATTTATTTCCCTTCTCTTTTACACAGGGCAATTTGGCTGTGAACTAGCAGGAGGAACTTGCCAATTCCCAGCAACTACAAAATGTACCTATGGAGAAATCGTTTGGGTCTCCTGTGGCGCCAACGCAATCTGCTGTAGTAGTAAGTGATATCCATTGAGTTGGTCCCACTCACATATAAATGTTTGCTCATTTTTAATCCTGATTTCCTGATCGACACTCTACATCTTCACAGGAGGAAGCAGAAGCAGGGCTTTTCTTGTACTAAAGAAAATAGTCACGGATCAGTTTCTGGATCAGAGCCAGGACCTGAACCAGGGGTGCAACCATCACCAAGGAATACTAGGAGGGCAAACATGGTGATTGTTATTACTACATTTTAGAAATCTTTTAGAAATGAATAACTATTTAAAAAAGCAACTGCAATACACCCTCATCTAGAAACAGTGAGGCTGATGGATTGCAAGCCTCTCACCCACTTTTGTCAATATTGCTAACATATAAACATTATCAAGGCAGTGAAAATCAGAGCGCAGAGAGAGATCGGGGCTCTGGTGAAGTTTTCCTTCTCTATCACGTGTGTGTGCTTCTGCATGTGAGAACTTGTTAAGCAAACTCTGAAGAGACATATGATGGTGAAGCACAGTGGCTAAGAGACGGAGACTCCACCATGAGCTCACCAGCTGGCCTTCAGCAAGCCACTCTCTCACTCTCAGCCTCGGTCTCCCCATTGGCATTATGGGACGTAACAATACTGATTTGCTGTTACAGAAGGCTTTGGATATTTATTCTTTCATTCATTCATTCATTCATTCATTCATTCATTGCATTTATATCCCACCTTTTCCTCCATGGAGCTCAAGGTGGCTTCTATAGTTTATCCTAATTTAATCCTCACAACATCCCTGCGAGGCAGATTAGGCTGAGAGTCAGTGATTGGCTCAAGGCCACCCAGGGAGCCTCAGAATGAGGGGGGATTAGAAGGCTGGTCTCCCATTTCCTAGTCCAGGACCTCAGGCTCTCATACTTGAAAGTGCTATTCCACTGCTCTAAACAAAACAGACATCAAATTAATGTTTCTGTTTTGCACAAGACATCCTCTCAAATAATGACAATTTACTCCCCTCTCTTTCACACAGGGATACCTTTGGAGTGTCGAAGGGCGGGAGGATTTTGCCAGACCCCCAAGACTGAGAACTGTGCCTTTGGAGATATTCAAGATGGCTACTGTAGTGATGATGATGCACGCTGCTGCAGTGGTAAGTGGTCCCACTCACGTGTGAATGTTTGCTCATTTTCAGTCCTGATTTCCTGATCGACACTCTACATCTTCACAGGAGGAAGCAGAAGCAGGGCTTTGCTTGTACTAAAGAAAATAGTCACGGATCAGTTTCTGGATCAGAATAGCTGATAATATACTCAGGGCATATTAACTCTATATTTAGAAGTAAAATGTTACCGTATTTTTCGCTCTATAAGATGCACTTTTTCCCTCCTAAAAAGTTAGGGAAAATGTGTGTGCATCTTATGGAGTGAATGCAGGCTGCGCGGCTAAACCAGAAGCCAGAACAGGGAGAGGGAGCGCTGCGCAGCGCTCGGTCTCACTGTTCTAGCTTTGGGCTTAGCTGCGCAAAGCCTCCACAGTGCAGAAGGGTGCCTTCATCCCGCTGCCCTCCGGAGGCTTCATCGGCTGTCCCAGAAGCCTGCACAGGACACAAGGATGAAGGCTCCCAGTGCCCTGCGGAGGCTTCGTGCAAAGCTAGACCAGCTAGAGGGAGCGTTGCGCAGTGCTCCCTCTAGCTATTCTGGCTTTTGGATAGGCCCCATGAAGCTTCCGTAGGGCAGCGGGACGAAGGCTAACTGCTGTCCTGCGGAGGCTTTGCGTGGCTCTTGCGGGAAGTGGGGGGAAGGGACAGAGCGTGCAACTCTGTCCCTTTCCCCACCTTCCAGAAAAGCCCCCAAGAACCGTGCACCCTTTAAAGAGCGCACGGTTCTTGTGGGAGATGGGGGAAGGTACAGAGGGCAGCTTACCCGCGCACAGCCTCTTCCGGTCAGGTGGAGCCTTCATCCCGCTGCCCAGGAGAGGCTTCAGCGGCTATCCCAGAAGCCAGAACAGCAAGAGGCTATCCCAGAAGCCAGATGCCTCTTGCTGTTCTGGCTTCTGGGATTCAGAATATTTTTTTCCCTTGTTTCCTCCCCCCCAAACTAGGTGCATCTTATCATCTGGTGCATCCTATAGAGCGAAAAATAGGGTAGATTCCGTTCTGATGCAGCACTTCTAGGTTCTGCATCTTCTTTTATTCGTCCACAGGGAATTGTTCATATGGATGCAAACTGTGCAGGCTGCACTTCCCATGGGCATGAAAACTGGCAGTTCTGATCTAACTCTACCAAATTTTAAGACAGTGCTCAGTAAGTGAAGATGAGCCAGCAGTCTGCTGCAGCTGAATGAACGCAAATGTGATTTGGCAACAAGGAGTCTCACTTCTTTCTGCACTTTCCAGACCTCACCTGAAGTACAATAACTGCCCTGAGTCCTCTGGGTATAGCGCTGAATATAAATCCAATTGATAACAATAATAATAAATACACCATAAAATCCAGCAGAACAGGAGCTAGAAACCTCAAGGTCCCAAAGGACCTGAAACAGGGGTGCCACCATCACCGAGGAATACTAGGAGGGCAAACATGGTCATAGTAATTGCTGTATTTTAGAAATATTTGAGAAAGGAAGAGCTACCGTAATTAAAAAGCAACTGAAATCTTAGGCTGTAGATGAGAAATAATTTAAGAAATCTGTTCTTGTCTGTGGCCAGTTCTGAAGGCAGGTTTTAAGAAGGCAAATAAATGGCCTGAGTATCTCCCAAGGCAGGTGAGATGTAAGCCTCTGAAAACTTGTTTTTGTTTGGTTTTTGCAAAAGAGATAAAAATGCAGTAAGTAATTAAACTCGACCAATTTGTGTAAAATTAATAATGTTGACTGGAGCATCAGTCAAATCAGGACTTCCCATGCCTGACAATGTAAACCAGTGAGATTCCACCATGAGCTCCACAGCTGGCCTTGGGCAAACAATGCTTTCACTCTTAGCCTCGGTCTCTCCATCAGTATTATGGGACATAATAATACTGACTTGCTGTTACAGAAGGCTTTGAATATTTATTGCATTTATATCCCACCTTTTTCTCCATGGAGCTCAAGGTGGCTTCTATGGTTTATCCTAATTTAATCCTCACAACATCCCTGGGGGCAGATTAGGCTGAGAGTCAGTGATTGGCCCAAGGCCACCAAGGGAGCCTCAGAATGAGGGGGGATTTGAAGGTTGGTTTCCCATATCCTAGTCCAGGACCTCAGGCTCTCAAACTTGAAAGTGCTGTTCAAATGCTCAAAAGAAAACGTTCATAAATTAATGTTCTTTTTTGCACAGGAAGTCCACTGAAATAATGACAATTTTCTTCCATCTCCTTTGCTTAGAGGAACCTCCATTGTGTAGAGCCTTAGGAGGATTTTGCCAGTTCCCAATCACTGTGGAGTGTGCCTTTGCAGAGTTTTCAAGGATCTCCTGTGGCCCTAATGCACGATGCTGTTGGAGTAAGTGATATCCATGAGTTGGTCCCACTCATGTGTGAATGTTCACACATGATCTGACACTAAGTAAAAGCGAAACAAAAGAAGTGCCATGGTCAGATCACTTCCTGGTGCAACTGGACTTCTCCACGACCCTTCCCCTCTGCAGGGAGGTGGGACCAATTCGGATGGTCTGCCCCCGCCACTTAATGGATCCAAATGGTTTCCAGAGAGTGGTAGGGGATGTTTTATCCCATGTTGATGGCCTTTCAGCTGATTCCCTGGTGGCCCGCTGGAATGCAGAGTTAACCAGGGCTATCGACTCTCTGGCTCCGAAGCGCCCACTCCGAGCCCGGACAGCCCCGTGGTTTTCTTCGGAGCTGAGGGCAATGAAATAATTGCTGAGACGGCTAGAGCGTCGGTGGCAGAAAACTCATTCCGAATCTGACCGGACACAGGTTAGAGCTCAACTTCGAGCCTACCAAGTGGCGACAGCGACGGCGAAGAAGACTTTCTTCACTGCCTCTATTGCACCTGCAGAAAATAGTAGCAGGAGACTCTTTCAGGTGGTCCGCAATTTAACGGAACCACCTTTACCACCAGGACCTTGTAAAGACCCCAAGATCTCCTGCAACGATTTTGCAAAGTTTTTTGCAGATAAAATCGCTCATATTCGGAAGGAGCTAGACACCACCGTGGGAGCAGGGCTGGGGCGGGAGAGTGCTAGAGCCCTGTCTGGTCAAGTTGCATGGAATCAATTTCAATCCGTTACCCCCGAGGATGTGGACAGGCTGCTTGGACGCATGAAACCAACCACCTGTCTCCTTGATGGTTGCCCATCCTGGCTAATAAAAGCAAGCCGGGAAGGGCTGGGCGATGGGCTCTGCGGGGTGGTGAATGCGTCCCTCTGTGAGGGAACATTCCCAGATCCACTGAAAGAGGTGGTCATTAAACCGCTTCTTAAAAAAACATCTTTAGACCCGGCCAGTATGGCCAACTATCGCCCAGTCTCAAATCTTCCATTCTTGGGCAAGGTGATTGAGCGAGTGGTTGCTGAACAACTCCAGGCACGCCTGGAGGATGCGGACCATTTGGATCCCTTCCAATCAGGATTCAGGCCTCATCATGGGACTGAAACTGCCTTGGTCGCGCTGGTTGATGATCTCTGGTGAGCTAGGGAGAAGGGTGAGAGTTGTTTCCTAGTTCTGCTGGATCTCTCAGCGGCCTTTGATACAATCGACCATAACATCCTTCTGGACCGTCTAGAGAGGCTGGGAGCTGGAGGCACTGTTATACAGTGGTTTCGCTCCTTCCTCCTGGGCCGTGTTCAGAAAGTGGTGGGGGGGGATGAGTGTTCAGACCCCTGGGCCCTCACTTGTGGGGTGCCTCAGGGTTCCGTCCTCTCCCCCCATGCTTTTAACATCTATATGAAGCCGCTGGGAGAGATCATCAGGGGGTTTGGACTGGGTGGCCATCAATATGCAGATGATACCCAGCTCTACCTCTCTTTCAAATCAGAACCAGTGAAGGCGGTGAAGGTCCTATGTGAGTGCCTGGAGGCGGTTGGAGGATGGATGGCGGCTAATGGATTGAGGTTGAATCCTGACAAGACAGAAGTACTGTTTTGGGGGGACAGGGGGCGTGCTGGTGTGGAGGACTCCCTGGTCCTGAATGGGGTAACTGTGCCCCTGAAGGACCAGGTGTGCAGCCTGGGAGTCATTTTGGACTCACAGCTGTCCATGGAGGTGCAGGTCAATTCTGTATCCAGGGCAGCTGTCTACCAGCTCCACCTGGTACGCAGGCTGAGACCCTACCTGCCCACGGACTGTCTCGCCAGAGTGGTGCATGCTCTAGTTATCTCCCGCTTGGACTACTGCAATGCGCTCTACGTGGGGCTACCTTTGAAGGTGTCCCGGAAACTACAACTAATCCAGAATGCGGCAGCTAGACTTGTGACTGGGGGCAGCCGCCGAGACTACATAACACCGGTCTTGAAAGACCTACATTGGCTCCCAGTACGTTTCCGAGCACAATTCAAAGTGCTGGTGTTCACCATTAAAGCCCTAAACGGCCTCGGCCCAATATACCTGAAGAAGCGTCTAGACCCCCATTGTTCTGCCTGGACGCTGAGGTCCAGCGCCGAGGGCCTTCTGGCGGTTCCTTCATTGCGAGAAGCAAAGCTACAGGGAACCAGGCAGAGGGCCTTCTCGGTAGTGGCGCCCACCCTGTGGAACGCCCTCCCATCAGATGTCAAAGCGATAAACTACCTGACATTCAGAAGACATCTTAAGGCTGTTCAGAGAAGTTTTTAATGTGTGATATTTTATTGTACTTTTGGTTTCTGTGGAAGCCGCCCAGATTATTTATTATTATTATTTTCAATCCTGATTTCCTGCATCTTCACTGGAGGAAACAGAAGCAGGGCTTTGCTTGTGCTAAAGGAAATAATCACTGATCAGTTTATGGATCAGAGTAGCTGATAATACACACAGGGCATATTAACTCTATATTTAGAAGCACAAAGTTGGATTCAGTTTTGATGCAGCACTTCTAGGTTCTGCATCTTCTTTTAAGCATTAGAGCCTCAAGGTTTTCATCTGTGCACAGGGAATTTTGATACCGCAGATGTCCATATTGGTGTAAACTGTGCAGGCTGCACTTCCCATGGGCAGTAAAAACTGGCAGCTCTGATCAAACTCTACAAAATTTAGAATGCCAACAAAATCTAGAATGCCAGCAATGGTGATAGTTAGTGCTGCCTTTTAGAAATACTGGAGAAATGAGTTGAAAAATAACTGCAATCTGAGGCTGGAGAACAACTAATTAGAGTGTCTTCCAAGGCTGGTGACCAGAAGGGTACAAGATTTGAAAGCTGTTTCTTATGAGGAACATTGGAGGAGCTCAGCATGTTTAGCCTGGAGAAGAGAAGGTTAATTTGGAGGAGAGACATGATTGCAGGATCCAAATATTTGCCAGGCTGAGATGGGGACATTTTTTCAGAGGACAGGACGAGAACCAAAGGGGTGGAAATGACAGAGAAGCAGGTTTTGAGGGACAATCTGTCAGGGATCTTGTCACTGAAGATCCTGCATTGAGTAAGGGTTGGACTAGTTTATCTCCAGGTCACATTGGGATCTCCATCCAGCTGTTCATTCACTGAACTTTCTGCTAATAACCCACATTTTAGTATGATTAGTTCCTTTTACCTCCAAATGCTACATCCATTTAAGGGTCCAGCCTTTGCCATCACCTCCTACAGCAACGTAGTGGGGGGTCCGCAAGTCTCCCTGCGTTTTCGTGTGGTGGAGTCCTCAGAGTCAGTGGCTGCCAGTGGCCCATCCTGACATCCAGGATGGGCCAAGGGATGTTGGCACTGATCTTGCAAATTCCTGTGAGAACTCTTTTGGGGCTGGGCTTGAATGTCCTCTTCCTTTCTGCTACAGATTCCAGCAATGCAGGGTGGCCTTAAATGTTCCTTTGTGTCTTTCCAGCACTATAATTCTTATCTCCTGAAGGTGAGGAATCTGACTCAAGGCTCATGAAATTGACATCAATTGATTTCCATGTTTCTTTGCAAAACAATCAATGTAAGAGGAAATGAAGGGTTCTGCCAGGAGGAACTCATCAAATGCAACCCGTCTGGTATACCTCTTCCGGTTTACTGTGGCTTCAGTGCACAATGCTGTGCCCTTGAGTGACATCAGTAAGCAGCCCACATCCATGGTTGAGAATGTCTGATGGCTACTCTGATTCTTCTGGATCTTTGCTTCTGAAAGCAGGCAATAAATTAAAGATTAGTCTGCTCAGATGATCTTCTCATTAAACAGATTAACCTGAAATTTCAAAATGGTCTATTTTTTCATTTTTTAAAAAAAGCATCTCAGACTAAATATGACCCACCTCCAGTGGAAGCACATCATATCTGCCCAAGATCCCTCTTGACAGAGGTCCTCATCCCAGAGTCCCAGGAGCAGATAACTGCAGCCATTGCTTTTTATGCATCCAGGCAGTGCTTGGGTATCGCTGCCCAGCTGGTTATGTGAACAAGGGTTGGATAGGCTGAACTCAACCCAGACTGGAGCCATGACCTAACTGGAGCTGATTTTTAAGGAGTTATTTCCTTGTAGGTGCCCATAGGTCATTGAGAGTGGTATTTAATGCTGCTGAATGCACACCAGTTTCATTGATTTCCATGGGTGTACTCTGAGAAGGACTAAGAATTTTCTGAAGGGGGAGTTTCAGGAATCTCTGAATTAGAGAAGGAACTTAGGGAGGTGCCAGGGAGTGTGGGATGGGGGGTAGGGAAGAAAATGAAGAGTCAGGAGGGCTATGGTTGCCTAATGATCAAGATCTCAGGTTCAATCTTGATCTGGGTCTTTCGTTCTTTTCATCAATAATTAACATATATTAATTCATAACATAGCCAAGTATAATTGCAGATGCGAAGTAAAATAAAATACGAGCAGAAAAGGATATCTAAAGTTCAACACATAGGAACACATATCCAGACCACTTTCAATTTATTTGTTTAGACAATTCTCTCCCAACTTTTCCCCAAGGTACTCAACGGGATGTGCATCAATTTCTCTCATGAGCCCATGTGTCCCAATGGTGACTAAGAAACTAAGGGCACCAATACCACGCTGATGCCCTTAGTTCCTTAATCACCACTACCTAAAAGGCCCTCTGCCTGCTTCCCTCTAACCTCGCCTCTTGCAATGAGGGAGGGTCCAGAAGGTCCTTGAAGCTGGACCTCCGTGTCTGGGCTGAATGATGGGGGGTAGAGATGCTCTTACAGGTATACATCCACAATTGGATCATTGACTGGTTAGGAAGACTCCAGGGAGGAGAAAGAAATCAGAAATGGAAAGGAGAAACAATGTTAGGAAACCAGGTTGGTGTAGTGGGCAGTGAAATGTTATGCTGACAGTTACCGGATTTGGCACTGCAACTCCTCAAATTGTGTAACTGTGGAGCCACGTCTCAGCCTTTCTGAACTTTCTGAATAGCTTAAGAATGTCAAGGTCAGTCTCACAGTCTGGCACAATAAAGGAGAAAACCAAGTTCCCTCCACCAATCCCACGACAGGCAGCCCAGAGGCAGCTTCCTTAATCTTTCAAACTAGCTAAATGCCAAAGAAAAAAATGGGAAAGAGAAAATTTTCCAATTCTCCCCTTATTCTGAGGAATGGGGACACTTTTTAGCCAATTCAGAATGTAGACAGGCAGCACAGGAAAATTTTTAGCCAAGTCAGTGGAAACAGAGATTGAATGATTCCTCTTCCATTGTGATGTCCCAGAGGAGACTAGTCTTCCCTCCCTGGTGGTCCGCTGCCAAATGGGGAGGTCCTGATCGTATTTCCTAGCTTCCCAAAGTGATAACAAATAAACAAATACCCCCTTTTCTACTAAGGAGGGGGAGCAGAATTGCTTGCAGAATTTAAAAACTTTTCCGTTCCTTAAAGGTTTCGGTCTTTGCACACCTATTTTCACCTTGTTCAACAAAGGGGACCGACTTCCATTTTTAAGTCTCCCTTTTCTTCCCGATCTTTTCCAATTTTATTTTGAAAGTACTTACATTTCCAAACTCTTTAATTCTTTTTTATGAAGGAATTGGCCGCTTACGGTTGCCAGTCTTGGAGTTTCGCTGCTTTGAAGGAAGCAGTCGTTTCCGCTGTGCCACACCTCCAACCCCACTCACTCTCGGGGCTCTTACGAGCTTACCGGGGAGCCGGGGAGTTGCTGAAAGGCACACGCCGGAACACCAGGTCCTCAGAACATCTGATCTAAGGTTTTTTTCCGGGGAACCGTGACGCTCTCACAGTCTCCCCAACTTCAAAGCGCAGGGGCTCTTTCAGCCAAAAGAGCTCCTGACTGCCATAACCAGACGACCAACCGGAAGTCAAGGCGGGTGAATTTTAAGCCTCAGAAAATTTGTTTTTGTTTTGTTTTTGCCAAGGAGATAAAAATGCAGCAAGCAAACAAACAAATAAGTATGTAAGTAAGTAAGTAAGTAAGTAAGTAAGTAAAGTCCCTCCAAACTCAACCATTCTATGTAAAATTGATGATGTTGACCTCTTTCTGTCAATTATTGGCAGGGAATTTTGATACCACAGGTGTTCATATGGATGCAAACTGTGCAGGCTGCACTTCCCATGGGCAATAAAAACTGGCGGCTCTAACTATAAAATTCAGAATACCAACAAAATTGGTAGCTAATGCTGCCTTTTAGGGACGCAGGTGGAGCTGTGATCAAAACCACTGAGCCTAGGGCTTGCAGATCAGAAGGTCGAAGGTTCGAATCCCTGCGATGGGGTGAGCTCTCATTGCTCGGTCCCAGCTCTTGCCTACCTAGCATTTCAAAAGCACATCAGAGTGCAAGTAGATAAATAGGTTACTTTTACTTTGTTTTTTTCCTTTTATGTTTGGAAAAAGAGATAAAAATACAGCAGAAAAATAAAGAAGGCCCCTCTCAACATGACCATTACGTGATGTTGACCAGAACTTCAGTCAAATCAGAACTTTCCTCTCCATGCCTGTCCATCTAAATCAGTGACCATCTCTCTGTCCAGGAGAAGGTGTAATATAAATATCAGAATAAAAGATAAAATAATAGTTAGCATCACCATTCCTGTAAGATGCTATGTCACTTTGAGGGTCCAGCCTTTGCCATCACCTCCTACAGCAGTGGAGTAGGGGATCCTCAGGTCTCCCTGGGTCTTTGTGTGGTGGAGTCCTCAGAATCAGTGACTGCCAGTGGCCCATCCTGACATCCAGGATGGGCCAGGGGATGTTGGCATTGATCTTGCAAATTCCTCTGAGAGCTCTTCTGGGGCTGAGCCTGCATGTCCTCTTCCTTTCTGCTACAGATTCCTTAAATGTTCCATTGAGTCCTTCCAACACTACAGTTTTATGATCCTCCCTCATCTCCTGAAGGTGAGCAATCTGACTCCAGGCTCATGAAAGTGCAATCGATTACAGATTTCCTTCTTTCTTTTATTCAGGATAATCATCAGTATATGAGGAAATGGAGGGTTCTGCCAGAAGGGAATCACCAAACGCTACCCATCTGGCCTAACTCTTCCAGCTTCCTGTGGCTTCAATGCACAATGCTGTTCCCTTCAATGACATCAGTGAGCAGCCCACATCCATAGGTGTGAAAGCCTGATTGCTACACTGATTCTTCTGGATCTTTGCTTGTGGAAGTGGGCCTGATCAATCCATTTGTGAAGCAAACAATGAAATAAAGATCAGTGTGTTCATATGATCATCTAATTAAACGCATATTAAACTGCAATTGAGAAATTGTATTTATTTTTTTAAAAAAGCATCTATGGCTTAATATGACCCAACTCCAGTGGAAGCGCATCATATCTGCCCAAGATCCCTCTTGACAGAAGTCCTCATCCCCGAGTCCCAGGAGCAGATAACTGCAGCCATTGCTTTTCATGCACCCAGGCAGAGCTTGGGTTTCGCTGCCCAGTTGGTTATGTGAACACGGGTGGGATAGGCTGAACTCAACCCAGACTGGAGCCATGACCTAACTAGAGCTGATTATTAAGGAGCCACTGCTTTGTGGGTGCCCATAGGTCATTGAGAAAGAAATTAGCAGTGGGAAGGAGAAACTATGGTAGGAAGCCATTTTGGGAGAGGTGAAATGAACTGAGGAAAGGGTGTGCGTGTGCGTGTGTGTGATGGGGAAATAGTGTCAGTGGCTCCCATGAGTGGGCTCACCTCCTCCCAATGCTCCTTATAATTTAATCACCATCTTCCTTGGGTTCCACCCACACAGAATAAATCAGGGATTGTAGGAAATGCAATTCATGTATGATGGGAATTGTAGTCCAACAATGATCAGAGGGTCACAGGGAGACTGCATATCCATCAGCAGTCGTGATTCGACCTGGACATCCCAGAATTACAGAAGTTATCCCACCTTCTGATAGGATGTCAAATGTATGTTTCAACATCTCTTTGGCTCTGCAACACTGTAAGTAAAGAGAACCTTCTTGTTTCGTCCAAAGAAGACTTCTGCCTTAGAGCGCTTTCTCTTTAGCAGAGATCTTGGGGAAAATTTTAGGCATGAGGTTCCCTTACCTGAACTTTGTTCTGGTCTTTGCAATTGCAGTCAAACTGAACAGTCCAACCAAAAGTTGTTGCATCAAACTGCATTACAGTCAAGCTGTTACCCAAAATTCCACTTTCGTTTTATCCAGGTGCTGTGAGTTTGGCAGCAGCTTTTGTGAGATGACAGGAAATCTGTTAATTGATATGGAAAGAAAACAGCATGAGAAATCTTGTTCTTCAGATAAAACTAAGGAAGCTCTCCAAGAGGAATAAATTGCATAGGCAATTTATTTTGGCACAACAACACTATAAGTAAAGAGAACCTCCTTTTTCCATCCAAACTCCACTTCCTTCTGCCTTAGAGCACCTTCCCTTTGGCAGAGATCTCAGAGGAAACTCCAGCCCTGAAATTCCTCTACCTGAGCTTTGCTCTGGTCTTCATCCTCTTCCCCGTTGTTGCAAGTAAGAGAGCAGTTCAAGCTCAGTGGAGGAGCATCTGCTGCAAATGCAGAAGGTCTCAGATTCAATCCCAGGTATTTCCCCAGCTGGAAACCCTGAAGAACTGCTGCCTGTCAGTGTAGACGACACAGCGGAGACTGTTGTGACTTTTAGAAATATGACTTATTCACACATTTACAAACTGAGCCTCTCCTAGAGTCTTCCACCTCCTTCCCAAAGCCTAGTTAGCACTGTCCCAGATGTAGGAAGGAGATGGGAGAGCCATAGGACCCTGCCAGAGCCCTCATGCCTCCTTCCCAATGCCTGGTGCCCTGCTTACCCAAAGCAAGCACTTAGAATCATAGCATTGTAGAGTCGGTCATCTACTCCAACCCCCTGAAAGGCTTTGGGTAGGAGGTGGGAAGATGCCCCTTGGCTTGGCGACCTGTGTGTGGGAACCGGTCACACTGCCCTAAATCTTCCTCTGGACTCAGCTACATTAGTTTTAAATGCAATATAACACTGGGACACCAGATGGCGCTGTAGAGTTCCGTCTTTCATCAACTTGATTTCCCATTACACATTTTCTTGAATCCTGAGCACAATAGCAGGAATTTCAGTGAAGTTGGGACACAGGCAAACCTGTTTTGCTCCATTGTTCCGTTACATCATAATGATAAAAATAATAATGATAATAATTTCGTTATTTGGACACCACTCACCTTACTGGGTCACACGCACTCTGGGCAGCTACCAGCATGTACAGAAACATATTGAAGCATCAACACCTCTTAACTGCTGCCAGAATCCTCTTCCAAAATCCAGGGGAAAAACGAGAACAACAACCATGAGGGAATGAATAACTAAAATCTGGGCCGTACATGGTGTGAATAAGAGAGGGCAGACATGGAAATGTCTTTGCCAAGAAATAAAGTCTTTTTAGAAGGTACTGAAGTAAGAAGGCATAGGAGAGTATATAGCCATTTTTGTTACTTGGAACCTTTCAATATTATTATTATTATTATTATTATTATTATTATTATTATTTGTGTTTGGAATTCATATGGAAATGTGGTCCTATTGTTTAATTCTAGATGTGCTGGTCCCGTGGGTTACCCGAGAGGTGAGGTCCAAGTCCAGTCCGTGGTCAAAGGTGCAAAGACTGCAAAGAGGCAGTCCGTAGAAGCTGAAGCTGGGTGCAGGGCAGGGAGTTGGGTGAAGTCAGGAACAGGCTTGCAAGCAGGGAGCCAGGGCTGGTCAGGAGCTCAGGCAGGAAAGCAGGACAGGGTTCAGGGAGGAACTAGGAACCAACAATGTTGCTCCCGCAACTTGGGACTGGGGCTGGCCAGCTTTTATCTGCCCCGAGGCGTAGGGCGGCCCCGATCCTCTGGTGACTCACCTCTCCTGGCCTGGAGGCGAGCACTCCTCCTGCAGGAACTTAGTTCCCTCCGCCTCTCTGCCCTGAGCCTCTGCAGCTCAGGAGAGGCTGGAGGGTTACCGGGCCCAGAGGCAACCTCAGCTTCCTCTGACGGGGCTGAGATTGGAGCACCTGCAGGCAATGGGCTCTCCATCACCTCAGGAGCCAGAGCAGACTCAGCTGGTGCTTGCATCTGAGGATCCAGCACAGGTGAGGGCCTTCAAGCTCATGCCCCAGCCCCGGCTCAGCTGGTTCTGGAGGTGGGGAATCCTGTGCAGGCTGGGATCCCTCAGGTTCAGCATCCAAGTCCGAATCCCAGGCCATCACACTAGATATATTTTTCTACTTGTATTTTATTTTGATTGGCATCTGTGATTATACGTTGTCTTGTTATTGTCAGGCTGCTGCCAGCAACTCCCAGCCGGTTGCCAGGAACACACAAAGACAAGGAAATGTTTCTTACCATCCTTTTATAATTCAGTCATTACAGAGAGAGGCTACAGAACCCAGCCTCTTGGATAATGGTGTTGTCCCGAGTGAATCTCCACCCTCTACCCCCGTCTCTCCCACGTCCTCATTCATCACTTCTACAGGTGCTGCTACGCACCCTCTGTCTTTGAGCTCTTTGCTCTCTGACTTTCAAGGCTCAACAGGTTCCGGGAGAGAGGGGGTCAGGAATGCTTTCTAAAGACATTGTGTCCATCAGCTGTTGCCCCCCTAGTGCTTCCTCGCCTCATCTCCCATTACTTCCCAATTTCACCCCCCCATGTGCCTCTGAGCTGTGACCTCCCTCAAGCCCCTGTTGTAAATCTAAACTGTCTTCCACTTCCTCCTCCCTGGAAGGGTCAAGCTGGGAAGGCCGTCTCCACCATTCCTCCTCTGCCCAGTCCCTGACAGTTATGAATTAATGTGAAAGAAAGTTGAAAAGAATGAAGGATCCAGATGATGATTGACCCTGGGATCTTGATCACTAGGCAGCAATAGCCCTTCCTGGTTCTTCGGTTCCTCCCAACCCCCACTCCCTGGAACCTCTCTGAGTCCCTTCTCTCATTCACAGAAATTCCCAACCCTCAAAAAAAATCTGAGTCCTACTCAGAGTAGACCCATGGAAAGAAATAAACCTAATGCAGCCATGTCCATTAACTTCAATATCACTAAATGCCACCCTCAATTATTTGTGGTCACCCACAAGGCAACGGCTCCTTAAAAATCAGCTTCAATTCAGTCATGCTTTCAGTCTGGGTTGAGTTCAGCCTGTCCCACCCATGTTCCCATAACCTGTGTGCATGAAAAGCACTGGCTTCAATTATCTGTTCCTGAAACTACTTGATGAGGACTTCAGTCAAGAGGGATTTTCAGCAGATAAGATGTTCTTTCACTGGAGGTGGGTCATATTTAGCAGTAGACTTTTTTAAAAAAAAATCACACACACACAAAAACTTTCAATTTCAACTTTGCAAAATTATTTTGTGTTTATTCATCTGAGCAGACTGATATTTATTTCATTGCCTGCTTTCACAAATGAACTGATCAGGCCCACTTCCACAAGCAAAGATCCAGAAGAATTGTCGTAACCATTGGACGTTCACACACACGGATGTGGGCTGCTCACTGGTGTCACTCGGGGGCACAGCATTTTGCATTGATGCCACAGTTAGCCGGAAGAGTTTTACCAGACGGACAGGGTTCATTGAGTCCCACTTGGCAGAACCCTCCCAGTCTATTGCACTGGGGTGTTGTCGGTGGTTTGTCTGCAACAAAGAAACAATGAAATCTATCATTGATGGCCCTAAAGTCAGGTTCCTCACCTTCAGGAGATGTGTAGAATTGTAGAGTTTGAAGGGTTCGAAATAACATCTAGTCCTACCCCAGTGTCCCTATTTTCCAAGGATATCCCTGATTTAAAGAAGCCGTCCTAGTTTCTGATTTGATCCTGGAATATCCCACTTTTCCTTAGGACGTCCCTATTTTCATTGGAGAAATGTTGGAGGGTATGGAGTTATCCAGCACCCAAGTTGTCTGAAGTTTTTATAATATTTAATGTTTTAGTGTGTGTGTGTGTGTGTGTGTGTGTGTGTATACCTTTCCACCGGAGTGATACCTATTTATCTACTTGCACTTTGAAGTGCCTTCGAACTGCTAGGTTGGCAGGAGCTGGGACCGAGCAACGGGAGCTCACCCCGTCACAGGAATTCGAACTGCCAACCCTCCGATCGGCAAGCCCTAGGCTCTGTGGTTGAGACCACAGTGCCACCCGCTCGCGTAGACCAGTTTAAAAAGTCCAGGACACCAATTTTTATGGCCTTCTAGTGACTATGGTGGGTCATTTGCCAGAATTAATGTATTTAGCTTTAACTCTGGAAGTGTGTATTCAATTCTGATATAACTAAGCCTCATGGAGAAAAATACACATCAGAAGGCTCAGTTTGGTCACTAGATGCAGAACCTAGAACTGCAGCTTGAGAACTGAATCATACTTTGTATTACTAAGAATTGGGTTAGTATGTCCTGAGAATAGTATCAGCTACTCTGATTTATAAAGTGATTGATCACTGTTTCCTTTAGCACAAGCAAAGCCTTGCTTCTGCTTCCTCCAACGAAGATCTAGAGCGTAGATCAGGAAATCAGAATGAAAAAGCAGGATTAAAAATGAACAAACATTCCCCCTTGTTAGCATGATCAACTCGTTGGATTTCACTTACTCTTGCAGCAGTTTCCATTAATGCCACACATGGCTGGAATATATCCATAGGGACATTTCAGAGTTAGTGGCACCTGGCAATATCCTCCCTGTTCTTCGCAGCTTTTGGCAGGTTGCCCTGTCAAAAGAGAGGGACGTAAATTGTCATTACTTGAAAAGACTTCTTGTGCAAAAAAGGACATTAATTGGTTGACAATGTTTGGTTTTGAGCATTGGAATAGCACTGTCAAGTATGAGACCCAGGCTGATTTGGTGGTTAGCATGTCAGACTAGGGCCTGGGAGACAAGGGTTCAAATCCTCACTCAGACATAAAGCTCACTGGGTGGCCTTGTCACTCACAGCCTGATCTAACTCACAGGGTTTATTCAAGGAAGGGGCTGGGCCCCCCAAAAAAGTTTGGCAGCGGCCATGAGCACACACTTTAGTCATGTCATGTGGCCCTGGACCACCTCAGTCATGGTGGCAAGGCAGCATGCCAAACTGATTCTATACATCTTGTTAGGGAATCATTCTGCCAGAAACAAGTAGAAGGTTCCAGAAGGTTCCAGACCTTTCCTTTATATATGGGAGTGGCACTCTGAGCTTAATTAGAATCAGCTGGACGTGCCAATAAAAAGAAGACCACTCAGATTCGGTTTTGCAGTTGCCTGACGGCAGACGTTCGCCCAAAGAGTGCTGCCTGTAAAAGCTGCTGACGGACTGTTCCTGTAATTTACAATGTACTGGAGATAAGAGTGGCTTTGTCTGAAAGTGCGCTGTTAATTGCTGGTTTTTTTAACAATTGGAAAATATTCTTTGCTATCATAATGCTTGTACCCGGTCTGGGAATACAATCTCTTTACTGAGACTTCACAGAGTTTAGTGAGTCATCTTTCAAACAACTTTTTGTTATTGTCCACAGCTTCTGGGGAGAAGATTACTCTGCTAAACAATTGAAAGAGGTTTTACCTACACTAAGGGTACCAGACGTCCCTGTTTCCTGGGGACAGTCCCCGGATTTACACATCAGTCCCCATACAAAATCCATTGAAGTTGAAAAGTGTCCCTGGATTCATTGAAAGAAATTGGGTAACCTTATGTAAAGAAAAAGAAGGTACTTTGTATCATATGTGGTGGGAATGTAGAGAAGTTAAAAAATTCTGGGAGATGATATATAATGAGTTGAAAAAGATGTTTAAAATGATATTTGTAAAAAACAACAACCCAGAAGCATTTTGTTAGGGATTTTAGGACGAGATCAGCCAAGAAAAACAAAGAACTTATTTATTTATGCTGCAACAGCGGCAAGAGTCTTGTTAGCACAAAGATGGAAGAATGAGGAAATCCCAACGGAAGAACAATGGCAAGAAAAACTGATGAGCTATGCAGAATGGGCAAAGTTTACATATAAACTACGTGAGAAGGACAACAGTGACTTCAAGGAAGAATGGGAACTTTTTACATACTACTTAAGAAGACAACAAAATGATTTGGACTCCTTGGCAGGCTTTGAATAAACATCCACAAATTTATTAGTAGAACATATGATGGATAAGGTAATGATATGTACAATTCTACAATATGCAGAGAAAAATATGTATAAACAAATCAGAGACGGGAACTGAGGGAAGTCTCTGGGGGGGTGGGAGAGGGAGGGAGGGAATAAAAAGGGGGGATGTAATTGGTTATGTTGATTGATAATTTGTGTTGTTAACATTTTTCAATAAAAATATATTTTTATAAAAAAGAAAAAAATCTGGTAACCTTAACCTACACACAAGTATCTGTGAAGGGAAAGTGTGTGGACAGTAACCTTTTAGATTGGTCTACAGGGACATAGTCTCTCAAAAGGGATATTTTCTGGAATCTCCTCTGTAGTATTACTGATGGGAGCACATTCAGTCCTGCTACAATGTATGCCCTGCGTTGATCTGGGTTAATCAGGTGGCAGAGATAAGGCAGACAGCTGTCCCTCTCTGACTTCTGCCTGCAGCCTGCATATTCTTCAGCGCACATCCAACTGTGCCGGCTACTGCCCTTCTCGCTACCAGCCAGGTGAGGAGGGAGAAAGGCCCACCCATTTGCCCAGGGAACACCATCACTTCTTTAGTTATACTCATTGGGTCTTTAGGTGGCAACTATGGTGGTCATTCTCTCACAAAGAAGCTTGTCTGGCTAGTTCAGCAGTGAAATCCTCCATTATATTTTTACCCTTGCTGAATCCAGGATTTAGAAGGGACTTGGGCATCATGCACACTAACCCCTCCAAACTCACAACAATATATCTGTATCTAAAGAAGTGTGCATGCACACGAAAGCTTATACCCAGAACAAACTTAGATGGTCCCTAAGGTGCTATTTCAATTGTGTCAGACCAACACTGCTACCTGCCTGAACAATATAAATGACCATGAAGGAACCTGGAGTGTACCTCAGTCTGTAACGTTGCTGCTTTCACAAAAGTCGTATATTCAAAAACAGTTTTATTATGAAATGCGTTCCTTCTTTACCACCCCTATTTCGGCAGCCACACAGGATAGGATGCTCTCTTATAAGCAGTCACACTAGTTCAGAATTTTGTACACTGAGAGGCAGCAGATCTCCAGGGTCTCTGGCAGGGGGAAACCCAGCACTTTGCAGAAACACCTGCAGTTTGAACCTGATACTCCCCCATCCCCACCCCCGAGCTTGAGCCGTCCTCTTACCTGCAACAACGTGGAAGAGGATGAAGACCAGAGCAAAGCTCAGGTAGAGGAACCTCATGGCTGGAGTTGTCTCTCAGATCTTTGCCCAAGGGAAGACGCTCTAAGGCAGAAGGAAGTCGAGTTTGGATGGAACAAGGAGGTTCTCTTTACTTATAGTGTTGCAGTGCAACATCAAAGAGATGTTGAAACATACATTTGCTCATCTGGGTGGGGAAAGCTGCAAACAGGTTTTTCCAGTAACTCAGCATCTGAACCCTCCAGGCCCTTTTCTCTTAACTCATCCTAAGCTATTTATTTCTCTTCCTAAGATTTACCCGCAGAACCACCTTTCTCAATATGTTCACAATCTGTCCTGTGCTCCAGGCCCTGATGTTTTATTTCCATAACAATTAGCAGATTTCCTGTAATCTCAACTTCATAACACCTAAATGGAAAGGAAGTGAAATAGTTTTGCTGTAATGCAGTTTGATGCAACCTCTTGTGGTTGGACTGCAATTGCAATACCTACCAAGAAAGAAACTTTTCAGTGTGCTTTTCTCCTGATCTGCACATTTTGTGCTTGTTTTTGTGATGCACAAGGTTTTATGTACACTTTCTCCATTATGCGGTTTTTTATAAAAAATAAAATAGTGATTTTATTCCATCATCCATAAGAAGATTTCACCATCACTGAAATATTGCCAAATCTGACCCTCAGTCTGAAGGTACATTGTGGCTTTTAGAAATATGATTTATTCACCTATTTACAACTTAGGTCTGTATGGAGGGGGTCCAGAACTCACAGCATGGCCCAGAAAAAGGTGGTCAATGCAGTACTCACTATAGAACACAATTAAAAACTGCATGCAAAGAAACATGGTCTTTGCTTGTTTGATTCTGTATTCATTGGTGTTACGACCACAGCAAACTAGGGCAAGTTCTTAAAGAAATGGGTGTGCCTGATCACCTCATCTCTCTCCTGAGAAATCTCTATGTGGGACAAGAAGCTACACTTAGAACTGGATATGGAACAACTATTTGGTTCAAAATTGGGAAAGGAGTATGACAAGGCTGTATATTATCTCCCTGCTTATTTCACTTATATGCAAAATTTATCATTCAAAACGCTGGGCTGGATGAATCCCAAGCCGGAAGTAAGATGGCCGGAAGAAATATCAACAACCTCAGATATGCAGATGACACAACCTTGCTGGCAGAAAGTGAGGAGGAATTAAAGAACCTTTTAATGAGGGTGAAAGAGGAGAGTGCAAAATATGGTATGAATCTCAACATCAAAAAAACTAAGATCATGGCCACTGGACCCATCACCTCCTGGCAAATAGAAAGGGAAGAAATGGAGGCAGTGAGAGATTTTACTTTCTTCGGCTCCATGATCACTGCAGATGGTGATAGCAGTCACGAAATTAAAAGACGCCTGCTTCTTGGGAGAAAAGCAATAACAAACCTAGACAGCATCCTAAAAAGCAGAGACATCACCTTGCCAACAAAGGCCCGTGAAGTTAAAGCTATGGTTTTCCCAGTAGTGATGTATGGAAATGAGAGCTGGACCATAAAGAAGGCTGATCACCGAAGAATTAATGCTTTTGACTTATGGTGATGGAGGAGACTCTTGAGAGTCCCATGGACTGCCAGAAGATCAAACCTATCTATTGTTAAGGAAATCAGCCCTGAGTGCTCACTGGAAGGACAGATCGTGAAGCTGAGGCTTCAAGACTTTGGCCGCTTCATGAGAAGAGAAAAGACTCCCTGGAAAAGACCTTGATGTTTGGAAAGATGGAGGGCACAAGGAGAAGGGGACGACAGAGGATGAGATGGTTGGACAGTGTTCTCGAAGCTACAAACATGAGTTTGACCAAACTGTGGGAGGCAGTGGAAGACAGGAGTGCCTGGCATGCTCTGGTCCATGGGGTCACGAAGAGGTGGACACAACTAAATGACTAAACAACAACAAACAACAACAAGGTTGGCCAAGGCTGGCAATGCTCAATGGCAAAGGTTTTCCTTTGCTTGTTCTACAAAGGCTCTTCATCCCCTCCCTCTGTGAACTTAAGAGCATAGGAAGTGCTTTGCTGGATCAAGCCAAGGGCCCATCCAGCATCCAGCTGTATTGTTTTTAACACTTGATTGGAAGCCGCCCAGAGTGGCTGGGGAAACTCAGCCAGATGGGCGGGGTATAAATAAATTATTATTATTATTATTATTATTATTATTATTATTATTATTATCCTGTGCATTTGGCCAGCCAGATGCCTGTGGAAAAACCCACAAGCAGAGTACATGCACAGGAGCCCTCTCCCCTCCTGCAACTTCCAGTAATCGGGATTGAGAAGCATCGCTGTCTCCAGCTGTGAAGGTAGAGCAAAGCCATCGTGACTGCTAGCCTTTGGTAGTCCTCCTCCTCCACCCTCTTTTAAAGCCATCCCAGTTGGTGGCCATCACTGGCAGGGAGTTCCACACTATAACCATGAGCTGTGGAATAAGTCTTTCCATTTCTCTGTCCTGAAACTTCCAGCGTTCATTGGATGTCCACAAGTTCTAGCCTTATGAGCGAGATGGACAAACTTCCCTTTATCCACCTTCTCCACAGATAGAGGGTCCTCGTTGACCCACAAAGCAATCCCATCACAGCTCGTCCTGCCCCGTCCCAATTCTTCCCCTCATCTACAGAACAATGACCCAGGATGCAAAGACTCACTCACATGCTTTGATATCACACACCCCACGGCACGGCACGCCCTTGGACAGGTCTGCACAGATCAGAGAAATCGGCACCAGGTGAGATCTCCCTGCCATCGTTCCACATTTTCATAAAGCCATTCCCGCATGAAAGAAGTAAATGGAAAATGAAACCATAAGAAGAAATTAAAGAATATGTTAATGATTGGTTACATTGCCGCCAGGTCAATGAAATGTTTAAACAGGACTCTAAAGAAAAAGGATTTGATGAAAGTGGATCAAAGTTTGAATTAGAGATATTAAGTAATGATTCTAAAATTTTGTCTAAAATGTATAAACTGCTGCTTGAATGGCATTTGAAGGACGAGGAGGTTAAGTCGGTTATGATTCACTGGGCCAAAGATTTTGGGTATAATATACAGCTGAGTGATTGGGTAAAATTATGGAAGGAAGGTTTAAAATTTACTGCATGCAATGCTCTAAAAGAAAATGTGATGAAAATGATGTATAGATGGTATATTACACCTGTTAAGTTAGCGAAAATGTATAAAGTCAGTAATAAATGTTGGAAATGTAAAGAAAATGAGGGAACATTTTATCACATGTGGTGGGAATGTAAAAAGGTGAAATGCTTCTGGGAGATGATATATAATGTGTTGAAAAAAATGTTGAAATACACATTCATAAAGAAACCAGAAGCATTTTTACTGGGCATTGTTGGGAGTGATATAAACAGAAAGGAATGCAAACTTTTTTTATATGCAATAACAGCAGCAAGAATATTATTGGCCCAAAAATGGAAGCAAGAAGAATTACCGACGATTGAAGAATGGAGGATGAAGTTATTGGACTATGCAAAACTAGATAAACTAACAGGAAGGATTCGAAACCAGCGGGACCAGAAATTCACAGAAGAAATTTACGGACTATTTGAAAAGTATTTGTGAAGAGCAGACGACGTTTGTAGGTTTGCAAGAGGTTTTGTGAGGAGTATTTTTGGAATATTTTTGCAAAAATGGAGAAGGAGGGGATGATATTTTAAGAGATGTAAAGGCAATATAAAGTTAAGAAATGCATAAGAAGTGGTTAAAACGGTGGACCATCAGAGGTGCTGATGGAAGTCTAAAAAGATTTTATAAGTGATATGTTTTGTGGTACATTTTATAGTTTATATGTTAAAATCAATAAAAATTATATATATAAAAAAGCCATCCGCACATGCAGGGGAAGAGAGGTGGCGCAACACAGCCTCTCCTGCCTCATGGCTGTGCTGCATCCTTCATCTTTGCATGAGCATCTATGAGGACCAGGAACGATGGTGGCGATTCTCCGCCTTCCCTGCAAGGACAGCTGTTGCCCACTCAGCTTCTGCTCAATTCCACCACAGCAATGCAGAAAGGAAACCGAAGTTTCCCTGGGTTCCTTGTACCTGGCGTTGAGAGAGCCCTGGCTGATGGTGTCCCCCTTGTCCAGAAGCTCGTTGTCACTGTGGTAATACATCTCATCCTCTTCTTGCCTGCGTGGATGGGTGGCAACAACAGGAATGGGATTACCCAAGTTTTACCTGTCTCTTTGAGCACCGGAAGGCAGCAGGGATTGCTGGCATTAGAGGTTACCGCCCACACAATTCCACTGCGCTTTTCTGCTTGTGTGGTGGCACCTCGGTAAAACACGGTGCCTGGTGTGCTCTGGTCCATGGGGTCACGAAGAGTCGGACACGACTAAACGACTAAACAACAACAATGTACTAAGCTTGGATCCTAGAACAATAGGCAAGTAGGATCCTAGAATGCAACAACTGATTGGCTTGCAGTAGCAGCCCAATCAGACCCCAGGAGGACGTTAATCAGCCTATCAGGCTGGTAGGATCCTAGAATGCAACAACTGATTGGCCTGCAGTAGCAGCCCAATCACGCTCCAGGAGGCAAGCAGCGTCAGCCAATCAGACGGGACTCATTGTGTAAATAATGTACAGTGGTACCTCGGGATGCGAACGGGATCCATTCCAGAGCCCCGTTCGCACCCCGAACAGAATGTAAGACGCAATAGCGCGTCTGCGCGTGCGCAGGTCACGTTTCGATGCTTCTGCACATGCGTGTGAGGTCGTTTTGACCATCTGCGCATGCACAAGCGGCGAAACCCGGAAGTAACGCACTCCGTTACTTCCGGGTCACCACGGAGCGCAACCCGAAAGCGCTCAACCTGAAGCGTATTTATCCCGAGGTATGACTGTAGGTTATGCCTGAGGTTTTGGGGGAAATTCAATCACTGTTTTACAAGCTGCAATAAAGAGCATGAAATCACCGCAGGACTCTGAGTATATTTCAATTTGCAGGTGTGAGGTGTGTCACTTCATGACTTCCCCTTGCTGTGAGTCTGGAAGGGGATGGTTAATAGAGATAGAACAAACAAGCACTTTAACGTAGTCTGTCAGAATTTCACTCCTCCCGTTGCTGGTTATGTGTCTGTTATGTCACATGTCCATGTTTACTTTCCTAGGCTTGGAAAGTGTGGAAACGGAAGTTGGCCTTATCTCTTCTACTCTGCTGTGTTGTGTTCCTTTTTCTGTTCTGTTCTCTCCCGGAGCCAGAGTGAGAGGACGCCATGAATGTTTGTCCTGTAAATACTGCTTAATAAACACTTAGAATGAGCACACCAATCTCCACTTGGTTTCTGCTGGTCTCTGCTGAGTGTGTGCGCACATAGGCACCTGCTATGTGTCCCTGGAGTGCTCCGGGACTGATGATTTGTGGACGTCCCAGAGCTGCACAACATCAGCTAGATGCCGAAGAGGTTTGTCTCATCCCAGGGGCTGTGTATTCTGACGGTCTGAACTTCATTTAAAGCCTTTAAAAACATGTAACTCATAATGAGAGAAGATAGAAATTAATATATGTAGACTCAGCTACATTATTTGGGGGGGGGTTAAAGCATTTTAAATGCATTGTAACACTGTGACACCAGATGGCACTGTAGAGTTCCATCTTTTGCCAACGTGATTTCTTCCTGGTGCTTCCTCCTTCTCCTCCTCTCCCATTATTTCCCAACTCCCCCCCCCCATCTGCCTCTGAGCTGTGACCTCCCTCAAGACCCTGTTGTAAATCTAAACTATCTTCCACTTCCTCCTCCCTGGAAGGGTCAAGCTGGGGAGGGCCGTCTCCACCATTCCTCCTCTGCCCAGTCCCTGACAGTTATGAATCAATGTGTATGAATGAAAGTTGAAAAGAATGAAAGACCCAGATGATGACTGAACCTGGGATCTTGATCACTAGGCAGCAATAGCCCTTCCTGATTCTTCAGTTCCTCCCCCCGCCCTCACTGGAACCTCTCTGAGTCCCTTCTCTCGTTCACAGAAATTCCCACCCCTCAAAAAAATTTCTGAGTCCTACTCAGAGTAGACCCATGGAAAGAAATAGACCTAATGCAGCCATGTCCATTAACTTCAACAGCACTAAATGCCACCCTCAATTATTTGTGGTCACCCACAAGGCAATGGCTCCTTAAAAATCAGCTTCAATTCAGTCATGCTTTCAGTCTGGGTTGAGTTCAGCCTGTCCCACCCATGTTCCCATAACCTGTGTGCATGAAAAGCACTGGCTGCAATTATCTGCGCCTGGGACTACGTGATGAGGACTTCAGTCAAGAGGGATCTTGAGCAGATATGATGTTCTTTCACTGGAGTTGTGTCATATTTAGCAGTAGACACTTTTTAAAAAGAAAACAAAAAATACACATTCTATTTCAACTTTGTGAAATTATTTTGTGTTTATTCATCTGAGCAGACTGATATTTATTTCATTGTCTGCTTTCACACATGCGCAGATCTGCTCCACTTCCACAAGCAAAGATCTAGAAGAACTGGCATAGCCATCGGACTTTCATAACCATGGAGGTGGGCTGCTCACGGGTATCCTTCAAGGGCACAGCATTGTGTATTGACGCCACAGTAACTCGGAAGATTCCGACCAGATGGACAGGGTTTGCTGAGATCCTCTTGGCAGAACCCTCCCAGTCTATCGCACTCGGGCATTGTTGGTGGTTTATCTGCATCAAAGAAACAAGGAGATCTATCGTTCATGGCCCCAAAGTCAGATTCCTCACCTTCAGATGATGCAAGGGGATCATAGAATTGTAGAGTTTGAAGGGCTCAAAATAACATTTAGTCCTACCCCCAGACCCTCCAAGTGTCCCTATTTTCCAGGGATATCCCTGATTTAGAGAAGCCGTCCTGGTTTCTGATTTGATCCTGGAATATCCCACTTTTCCTTAGGTAAAGAGACCCCTGACCATTAGGTCCAGTTGCGGACAACTCTGGGATTGCGGCGCTCATCTTGCTTTACTGGCCGAGGGAGCCGGCGTACATCTTCCCGGTCATGTGGCCAGCATGACTAAGCCGCTTCTGACAAACCAGAGCAGCGCACAGAAACACCGTTTACCTTCCCGCTGGAGTGGTACCTATTTATCCACTTGCACTTTGACATGCTTTCGAACTGCTAGGTTGGCAGGAGCAGGGACTGAGCAACGGGAGCTCACCCTGTCGTGGGGATTTGAACTGCCAACCTTCCGATCAGCAAGCCCTAGGCTCAGTGGTTTAACCCACAGCACCACCGACATCCCCCACTTTTCCTTAGAATATCTCTATTTTCATTAGAGAAATGCAGCACCTGAGCCATCTGAAGTTTTTACAATATTTAATGTTTTATTATGTTTTTATATATATATTGGAAGCAACCCAATAAGATGTGTGGGGTATACATAGTTAAATTATCATGATGGAATGGGACGTCCCTATTTTCTTTGGAGAAATGTTGGAGGGTATGCTACCCTGAAACGCAGGAATCTGTAGCAGACAGGGAAGAAGGCGTGCAGGCCTAGTCCGCTGAAAAGAATTCTGGCAGGCAATGTGCCCTTTTGGTTTCAGATAGTACATGGGTAGACCAGTTTAAAAAGCCCAAGATCCAATTTTCAATGCTCTCTAGTGGCTATGGCGGCTCCTTTACCAGAATTAATGTATTTAGCATTAGCTCTGGAAGTGTGTACAGTGGAACCTCGGGTTGCGGATGTAAACCGTGACGAAGACACGTCCACAACCCGCAGCGTTCGTAACCTGCAGGGCCGCGTCTGCGCACACGTGTGATGCGATTTGGCGCTTCTGCGCATTTCCACGAAGCACAATTTAGCAGTTCTGCACATGCACGAGTGGCGACACCCAGAAGTAACCCTTACCAGTACTTCTGGGTTTCCCGCTGTCCCCATCCTGAAAACACGTAACCCAAAGCATTTGTAACCTGAGGTACCACTGTACTCGATTCTGATGAAACTAAGCCTCATGGAGAAAAATACACATCAGAAGGCTCAGTTTGGTCACCTAGAAGTGCAGCTTGAGAACTGAATCATACTTTGTACTACAGTGGTACCTCAGGTTACATACCCTTCAGGTTACATATGCTTCAGGTTGCAGACTCCGCTAACCCAGAAATAGTGCTTCAGGTTAAGAACTTTGCTTCAGGATGAGAACAGAAATTGTGCTCCTGCGGTGCAGCAGCAGCAGGAGGCCCCATTAGCTAAAGTGGTGCTTCTGGTTAAGAACAGTTTCAGGTTAAGAATTGACCTCCGGAACGAATTAAGTACTTAACCCAAGGTACCACTGTACTATGAATAGGGTTAGTATGCCCTGAGAATATTATCAGCTATTCTGATTTATAAAGTGATTGACCACTTTTTCCTTTAGCACAAGCCCTGCTGCTGTTTCCTCCAGTGAAGATCTAGAGCGTAGATCGGGAAATCAGGGTGAAAAACCAGGATTAAAAATGAACAAACATTCCCCCTTGTTAGCATGACCAACTCACTGTATTTCACTTACTCTTGCAGCAGATTCCATTAATGCCACAGTTGGCTGGAATATATCCATAGGGACATTTCAGAGTTAGTGGCACCTGGCAATATCCTCCCTGTTCTCCGCAGCTTGGTTGCCCTGTCAAAAGTGAGGGACGTAAATTGTCATTATTTGAAAAGACTTCTTGTGCAAAAAAAAAAAAAAAAAGGACATTAATTAGACTGACAACATTTTGGTTTTTTTTTTTTAAATGATATTTATTCCAAGTTTAAAGTTACAAAAAAGAAAAAGAAAAACCATACAAAATACAAAGAAAACTTTAACCATAACAGAGCAAAAGATAAACAAGTAAAAAGAACAATAAGATAGAATAAAAAAGAAAACTTAACAAAAATATAAAAATACATTAAGTTGAAATAAAACAAAAACAGATTAAACCTTTGCATAACCTTTTCCCTTTACTTATTTCCATGACCTCCTCTCACCTCCCAATTTTGTATTCTAGTTCAGATCGTATTTCCAGCAAATCCTTCTAACCTTATTTTCATTTACGTATTTTAAAATTCAAATAATATAATTAAACCTCCTCTATTTCATCAATTTCATCAACTCATTTTTGCTTATTCCATTATATCATATCTACCAGAACGACCTAATCTGACAACATTTTGTTTTGAGCATTGGAACAGCATTTTCAAGAATGAGACCCAGGCTAATGTAGTGGTTAGCGTGTCAAACTAAGGTCTGGGTTCAAATCCTCACTCCCTGGGTGGCCTTGGGCCAGTCACTCACTCTCAGCCTGATCTACCTCACAGGATTTCTTCAAGGAAGGGACTGGGCCCCCAAAATAAGTTCTGCGGTGGCCATGTGCACACACCTTAGTGATGTCACGTGTCCCTGGGGCCCCTCCCTCGGTCGTGGGGGGGGGGCAAGACAGCATGCCAAAACTGATTCTATATGATCTGTCCACAGGGGCATAGTCTCTCTGAAAGGGATATTTTCTGGAATCTCCTCTGTAGTATTTGTTATGTACTGAAGTTCTCACCCTGGGCCAGCAGGGGGATACTGTAGATAGTTATGCAAATGAAGGATCGAAAGTGACTTTCAGTGATTGGATAGTTTGTATGCAAATGAAGGATCGAAAGTGACGTTCAGTGATTGGATAGTTTTAGAAAGTTGCTACAGTTACATTGTTCTGGAGCTCTATATAAGCAGGCTGATTGAGCTCTTCAGTTCAGTTCTGTTCTGGCCTTTGAATAAACAAGAGCTGTTTGAAGAATCGCTGTGTCGTCTGATATGTTCACCCACAACTTAACAGTATTACTGATGGGAACACATTCAGTCCTGCTAGGATGTATGCCCTGCGTTGATCTGGGTTAATCAGGTGGCAGAGATAAGGCAGACAGCTGTCCCTCTCTGACTTCTGCCTGCAGCCTGCATATTCTTCAGCGCACATCCAACTGTGCTGGCTACTGCCCTTCTCGCTATCAGCCAGGTGACGAGGGGGAAAGGCCCACCCATTTGCCCAGAGAACACCATCACTTCTTTGGTTATACTCATTGGGTCTTTAGGTGGCAGCTATGGTGGTCATTCTCTCACAAAGAAGCTTGTCTGGCTAGTTCAACAATGAAATCCTCCATTAGATTTCTACCCTTGCTGAATCCAGCAATCAGAAAGGACTTGGGCATCATGCACACTAACCCCTCCAAACTCACAAAAATATATCAATTATCTGAAGAAGTGTGCATGCACACGAAAGCTTATACCCAGAACAAACTTAGTTGGTCTCTAAGATGCTACTGGACAATTGTTTAGTTTTTTATTTGTTTATTTCGACTGCGGCAGACCAACACGGCTACCTACCTGAACAATATAAATGACCATGATGGAACATGGAGTGTGCCTCAGTCTGTAGCCTGAACATTGCTGCTTTTGCAAAAGTCATATATTCAAATTCGGTTTTATTGTGAAATGCTTTCCTTCTTCACCACCCCTATTTCGGCAGCCACACAGGATAGGATGCTCTCTTATACGCAGTCACACTAGTTCAGAATTGTCTACACTGAGAGGCAGCAGATCTCCAGGGTCTCTGGCAGGGGGGAAACCAAGCACTTTGCAGAAATGCCTGCGATTGAACCTGAGACCTTCATTGCAGCAGATGCTACCCTCCACCCTGAGCTTGAACTGTCCTCTTACCTGCAACAACGTGGAAGAGGATGAAGACCAGAGCAAAGCTCAGGTAGAGGAACCTCATGGCTGGAGTTATCTCTCAGATCTTTGCCCAAGGGAAGATGCTCTAAGGCAGAAGGAAGTCAAGTTTGGATGGAACAAGGAGGTTCTCTTTACTTATAGTGTTTACTTATAGGTATTTCCAGCAACTGTCAGCATCTGAACCCTACAGGCTCCTTTTCTCTTAACTCATCCTAGAGCATTTATTTATCTTTATATTTATTTACCCGCAGAACCACCTTTCTCGTATGTTCACAATCGGTCCTGTGCTCCAGGCCATGCTGTTTTAGTTCCATAACAATTAACAGATTTCCTGTAATCTCATGATTACATCTTCACAGCACCTACGTAAATGGAAAGTGGAATGTCACTTAAGAGTTTTGCTGTAATGCAGTTTGACGCAAACTCTTGTGCTTGGGCTGTTCAGTTCAACTGCAATCGCAATACCTTCCAAGAAAGAAACTTTTCAGTGTGCTTTTCTCCTGATCTGCACATTTTTAGATGCATTTTGCTTAATATGCTTGTTTTGGTGATGCACAAGGTTTTATGTACACCTTCTCCATTATGCAGTTTTTTAAGAAAAACTAAGTAGTGATTTTATTCCATCATCCATAAGAAGATTTCACCATCACTGAAATCTTGCCAAATCTGACCCTCAGTTCCAAGGCTCTGAATGGACAGAAATCACTAACGCTCCACAATCATTGCTTTACAAAACATCTGGGGGACACCAAGCTGTCAAAGGCTGCTCGATCAAGTCCTTATTCTCGTCATCCTTTCCTCCTAAGCCAAGAACATCCTCACAGCCTAACCCTTTCTTCATAAAAGAGGTTAGTGTCACGACCAAATTGCTTCTTATCACCTGTACATTATGCAATCAAGCAGACAAACCACATTTTTCTACATCTTAATGGATGTTCCTTGTTCACTTGTCTTGAGAAGCCTTGGTCCCAGGGGCAGTGCCTAAATGAACAATGTGATCTGTGATTAAAAACTTGTGAAAACGATAGCTGCATTACCGTGAGGCAAGGTCAGAGGGCCATCTGTCAGAGATTCTTTGGGTTCTTTTTTTCAGTTTTCATTTATTTAATTATACTTTTCACTAATTTTATACATTTCACTTATTTTACAATCCTTTTGACATTTCAAAACTTGACTTCCTTCCCCCTCTTTCTGCGGTTCCTTAAATTTATTTTTAATATCTTCTGCATACCCAAATTAACCAAATTTGCTCATTTATTTCATCTTCTTTAAATATATAAAGGTAAAGGGACCCCTGACCATTAGGTCCAGTCGTGACCGACTCTGAGGTTGCAGCGCTCATCTTGCTTTTTTGGCCGAGGGAGCCGGCGTTTGTCCGCAGACAGCTTCCGGGTCATGTGGCCAGCATGACTAAGCCGCTTCTGGCAAACCAGAGCAGCACATGGAAACGCCATTTACCTTCCCGCTGGAGCGGTACCTATTTATCTACTTGCACTTTGACGTGCTTTCGAACTGCTAGGTTGGCAGGAGCAGGGACCGAGCAACCGGAGCTCACCCCGTCGCAGGGATTCGAACCGCCGACCTTCTGATCGGCAAGTCTTAGGCTCTGTGGTTTAACCCACAGCGTCACCCGCATCCCTTTTTAAATATATACTCAGTGCTTTTTTCTGGGGGTACACAGGCGTATGCATACACCTAAACATTTTGTGAATCTAAGTTTGGCCTCATTGAGGGGCAGTATTTCAATATGAGTAGGAAAATGAGAGTAGCCTTAGACATTTTTAAAGAAAAAAGCACTCCTTATACTCTTATAAAACTGCAGGTTATTACAGTAATCCTGCCAATGCTTTTATCTGTTTATAATTTATCCATAAATATTCAGTAAACCATTTCCATTCTTTCATCTAAAATGTTATCTTGATTTCTTATTCTTCCGGGATTCTTTAGTTGTGTTTCCTACTTTGCAGGGGGTTGGACTAGATGACCATTGGGGTCCCTTCCAACTCTATAATTATATGATTCTAAAGTGAGTTGTCCATCTTAGGCAGCAGGCACCGGATACCATGACAGGCAATTGCAGAGGAGATAGGAAGTCCTGACCATTTTCTGAGCAAATCTCAGTGAAATAACCAAGACCTTCCATTCATTGCAATGAGGTTTTTGCAGGATTTCCCAAGGAATTGTGTCTTGTGGCAGCTTACCTACCTCATGAGAGTTTAGTTCTCATCTCCATCATGGGCTTCCAAAGTGGTCTGGGGTACATCCCAGAACAATTCTGCCCGGACACTGAGGTCCAGTGCCGAGGGCCTTCTGGAGGTTCCCTCGCTGCGAGAAGCAAAGTTACAGGGACCAGGCAGAGGGCCTTCTCGGTAGTGGCGCCCGCCCTGTGGAACACCCTCCCACCAGATGTCAAAGAGAAAAACAACTATCCGACTTTTAGAAGACATCTGAAGGCAGCCCTGTTTAGGGAAGCTTTTAATGTTTAATAGACTATTGTATTTTAATATTCTGTTGGAAGCTGCCCAGAGTGGCTGGGGAAACCTAGCCAGATGGGTGGGGTATAAATAATAAATTAGTAGTAGTAGTGGTAGTAGCATCTTGTTTTCTCCTGCTCTGCAGGGTAGGACTTGAACTAATGGCTTCAAGTTACAAGAAAGGAGATCCCAGCTAAACATCAGAAATAACTTTATGACAGTAAGAGCTGTTCGACAGTGGAATGATCTCCCTCGGAAGGTTGTGGACTCTCCTCCCTTAAAGGTTTTGAAGCAGTGGTTGGATGCCCACCTGTCATGGGTGCTTTAGCTGAGATTCCTGCATTGCAGGGGGTTGGACTAGATGGCCCTTGGGTCCCTTCCAGTTCTAAGATTCTATGATTCTATCAACTCCTGTCATAAGAAAGGTCTTTCTCATGTTTAATGGGAATCTCCTCCCTTGTCATTTGAATCCGTCGTTTCGGGTCCCACCCTCTTAACCAGCAGAAAGCATTATGCGCCACCGCTATGACAGCCCCACTGGGTCACAGCAAATCTGATAAAAGCATGCAATGTGCCCACAAAAACAGGAAGCACCAAAGAAAACCCCAGCCTGGTTGCAGTGACCTTGAATCAATGGTTTATTTATTGAACAGAGTGCGACGACGGATTCTTTTTCTGAATGATGGTAGTGGGAAAGGACAACAGGTTTTTGGCTTCTCGCTCAGTTCTTCACTGGACTGGAGTACAGCAAGAAAACATCGTTGGGTTAGGACAGGTGTTGTTAATGAATTGAAGGCCTGAGGGGCACGGGAACTGAATATCCAGGCAGTATCCCCGACCGCCATTGCAGGGCCTTAGTCTCCCTTCCATATGTGCATGACCTACGTGGAAAAAGGAGAAAGCCTTTAGGGTCCCGTGATGGTAATAAAAATGTGCACATTTCTAGGTTGGTTTGCACTTGAAAACTACATTTGATAGATTTACCAAGACAAACAAACAAACAAAACAGCAGCACATACCCCAATAAATTAATAAATTAATTAATTTTAGAAAGGAGCTGGCCTCTCCTCATTCTCTCCCACTGTCCAGACCTCAGACCTCAGATTCAAATGCACATATTATTATTATATATATATGAATGGTTATTGGAAGAAAAACAATGGGTATATTTGTGAGGCAAGAGTAGTTTAGATAAAAGAGAACGTAGTTACTAGGGGGCAAGTGAAGGGTGTTGAATGCTTTATTTAAATATTAAGGTTCATTATTGTTTCACAAGATGCGTATCTCTTTAAAGGCCAGAGTAAATATCATGACCTAGTTTTACCGCTGTGACGCAGTATAGCAGGTGCTGTTAAGTTGCGTTAATTAAGTTGTGTCAGTGATTGGGTATGGTGTATAAAGAGCAGTGTGTACCTCTCTCAGTACCCTGGTGAATGGGTCATACTTACAGATTTAATGTAAGAGGAGTTTTTGTTTTTGTAATTCAAGCCAAGCAAAATAATTTTTTGCATTCCTTCATTGTTTCCCCAGCACGCTTTCTGCAGCACAATTAATCTGCTAAATATGCAACAAAGGAGTGTGCTCAGCAAAAGTGAGCAGCTACCAATTGGCTCTAGGAAGCAATCTTCAATATCTTGGAGGGTTGACCATGGGTCAATGTGGTCCCCAGCTCAAAAAAGACCAATTACCCCTTGCCCAACAGTCTTCAGGTCAGGGTCAGCCTGTGGTGGTAACTTAGTAGGATTCTTCCTTTTTTTTTTTTTAAGGATACTGGTCCCAGCAGGGATTACCTTCCCCTGTAGATCCATCACAATTACAACCACTCAGTTTTTAAATGCATGTTCTCACAGGTCCTGTCTTTTCAGTTCCCAGCCTGAGCTGCCCACTTACCTGCAGCAACACTGAAGGCAAGAATGACCACAGCAAAGCTGAGATAAAGGAGCCTCATGGCTAGGGGTTCCTCTGAGATCTCTCTGACTGCTGGGGGAAGACGTTCAAAGGCAGAGGGAAGTTGACTCTGAATGAACCTAGGAGGTTCCCTCTACTTATAGAGTTGCAATGCCCATGCAATGTTGAAATAAACCTATACGTTTCTGCACCCGAGTGGGAAACATTGCAAATGGGTATTTCTTGCAGCTATCTCTTTCAGCAGCTGAACTCTCTCCCTCTCCCTCCAGACACTGCACACAATTTATTTATTTTTTTAAAATAATATTTATTAGAGGTTTAAAAATTACAGAAAAAAGAAGAAAGAAACAATGAAAAGTTAAACAAAGCAAAGCAATACCTTACAATACATCAAAAAAAAAGAAAAACAAAAAACAATACAGCAAAACAACAAGAAAAACAAAAACATTTAAAAACACATCCAATATTTCCATATCTTTATCTTTCATTTACCTGTTTCATCGACCTCCTCACACCTCCCTTTTTTGTATTCTAGTTCAATTAGCTATTTCAGCAAATCCTTTCCATCTTTCTCAATTTTTGTTCTATAATTTATCTTAACACAATCTAACCTTAAATTTTCCACTTTGGCCCATTAACAATCTATTTTTACTTAATTCTTTATAACATTTCTGCTAAAGCCATATAACTTCATTTCAGCATCCTTCTAACATTCATTAATTTTGCAATATTTCTGTAAATATACTTTATTTTTTTTCCAATCTTCTTCCACCGACTCTTCTCCCTGGTCTCGGATTCTGCCAGTCATTTCTGCCAGTTCCATGTAGTCTATCACCTTCATCTGCCATTCTTCCAGAGTGGGTAGATCTGGTGTCTTCCAATACTTTGCAATAAGTATTCTTGCTGCTGTTGTGGCATACATAAAGAAAGTTCTGTCCTTCTTTGGCACCAATTGGTCGACCATGCCCAGGAGAAAAGCCTCTGGTTTCTTCAGAAAGGTATATTTAAATACCTTTTTCATTTCATTATAGATCATCTCCCAGAAAGTCTTAATCCTTGGGCATGTCCATCAAAGGTGAAAGAATGTACCTTCAGTCTCATTACATTTCCGGCATTTATTATCGGGCAAATGGTAGATTTTTGCAAGCTTGACTGGTGTTATGTACCACCTGTAGATCATTTTCATTAGATTCTCTTTTAAGGCATTACATGCCGTAAACTTCATACCTGTGGTCCATAACTGTTCCCAGTCAGCTATCATAATGTTATGTCCAACATCTTGTGCCCATTTAATCATAGCAGATTTCACCGTTTCATCCTGAGTATTCCATTTCAACAGCAAGTTATACATTCTTGACAGATTCTTAACTTTGGGGTCTAACAATTCTGTTTCCAATTTTGATTTTTCCACCTGGAAGCCAAGTTTTTTGTCCAAATTATATGCCTCCATTATTTGATAATAATGGAGCCAGTCTCGCACTCTGTTTTTTAATTTTTCAAAACTCTGCAGTTTTAATCTGTCTCCCTCTTGTTCCAGAATTTCCCAATAATTCGGCCATTTGGCCTCCATATTGAGTTTTTTCTGAGCCTTTGCTTCCATTGGTGACAACCATCTTGGGGTTTTATTTTCTAGCAAGTCCTTATATCTTATCCAGACATTAAACAGTGCTTTTCTGACAATATGGTTTTTAAACGCTTTATGTGCTTTAACCTTATCATACCACAGATATGCATGCCATCCAAATACATTGTGACACTGCACACAATTTATTTAGCTGGACATCCCTCCTGAGGTTTCCATATGCCTTTATCCTATAATTGCTGCTTGTTCTGTGTTTCAGGTGCTGGTTTCCTTTATATTTCATGAGTTACAGCCAATTAGGTTTTACTCCAAACTGACTCATTAAATTGAATGAACCTAAGCTAATGGGTGGATGCGGGTTCTTCACTTCTATTCTCTGGATAGCTACAATGCCAGTATAGGGTGTTCCTAATGTTCATACAGGGACATGGGTGGCGCTGTGATCTAGACCACAGAGCCTTGGGCTTGCTGATCAGAAGATCGGCTGTTCAAATCCTCGTAACAGGGTGAGCTCCCATTCCTCAGTCCCTGCTCCTGCCAACCTAGCAGTTCGAAAGCACGTCGAAGTGCAAGTAGATAAATAGGTACCACTCTGGCAGGAAGGTAAACGGCATTTCTGTGCACTGCTCTGGTTCTCCAGAAGCGGCTTAGTCATGCTGGCCACGACCCGGAAGCTGTATGCCGGCTCCCTCAGCCAGTAAAGCAAGATGAGTGCTGCAACCCCAGAGTCGTCCGCGGTCAGGGGTCCCTTTACCTTTAAGCTAATGGGTATTGGTATTCTAAATGGGTCTGCTTGATGTGAGACTAATGATGGATAGCAAAGTGGACAACCTGGAACCAGGATGACAAAAGAAAGGTCTCACCATTTCTGGATATTGGAAAGGTTTGGAGAAGGGCAACCAGATGATCAAGAAGATAAGAATGATTAAGAACACAAGAAGAGTCTGCTGGATCAGGCCAATGGCCCATCTGGTCTAGCATCCTGTTCTCACGGTGGCCAACCAGATCCCTGTGGGAAACCAGCAAGCAGGATACGAACACAAGTGCACTCTTCCCTCCTGTGGTATCCAGCAACTGGTATTTAGAAGAATTGCTGACTCCCAACTGGGGCAGTAGAGTATACTCATAATAGCTTGTAGCCAACAATAGTTTGGGAGAAAAGCAATGACAAACCTAGACAGCATCTTAAAAAGCAGAGACATCACCTTGCCAACAAAGGTCCGTATAGTAAAAGCTATGGTTTTCCCAGTAGTGATGTATGGAAGTGAGAGCTGGACCATAAAGAAGGCTGATCGCCGAAGAATTTATGCTTTTGAATTATGGTGCTGGAGGAGACTCTTGAGAGTCCCACGGACTGCAAGAAGATCAAACCTATCTATTCTGAAGGAAATCAGCCCTGAGTGTTCACTGGAAGGACAGATCCTGAAGCTGAGGCTCCAAGACTTTGGCCACCTCATGAGAAGAGAAGACTCCCTGGAAAAGACCCTGATGTTGGGAAAGATGGACGGCACAAGGAGAAGGGGACAACAGAGGACGAGATGGTTGGACAGTGTTCTCAAAGCTACCAGCATGAGTTTGACCAAACTGCGGGAGACAATGGAGGACAGAAGTGCCTGGCATGCTCTGGTCCATGGGGTCACGAAGAGTCGGACACGACTAAATGACTAAACAACAACAATAGCTGTCTCCTCCGTGAGTTGGTCTAATCCTCTTTTAAAGCCATCCAAGTTGATGGCCGTCCCTGCCTCCTGCAGAAGTGAGTTCCATAGTTTAACTATGCGCTGAGTAAATAAGTAATTTATTTCATCTGTCCTGAATCTTCCAACGTTCAGCTTCATTGGTAGGCCATGAGTTCTTGCATCATGAGAGAGATAACTCCTAGGGGCCAAGGGGGTCTTTGCCCACCCCTGTAAAATATTTGAGGGCTCCTTCACGTTGATAGGCATTGCCATTATAATACTAATAATAATGATCATTTTATTATTTATACCCCGCCCATCTGGCTGAGTTTCCTCAGCCACTCTGGGAGGCTCCCAATCGAGTGTTAAAAACAATACAGTGTTAAATATTAAAAGCTTCCCTAAACAGGGCTGCCTTCAGCTGTCTTTTAAAGATAAGATAGCTGCTTATTTTCTTCACATCTGAAGGGTGGGCGTTCCACAGGGTGGGTGCCACTACCGAGAAGGCCCTCTGCCTGGTTCCCTGTAACCTCACTTCTCGCAATGAGGGAACCGCCAGAAGGCCCTCAGTGCTGGACCTCAGTGTCCGGGCTGAACGATGGGGGTGGAGACGCTCCTTCAGGTATACTTTCAAATGGTGTTAATGCATCATATCCTGTGATCGATTGTGTGGGACGGGGCATATTTTATACTTTCTCTATGTCATTCATCGAGAAAGTATAAAATATGCCCTGCCCAATACTTTCTCTATGTCATTCATCCCCTTCATGGAGCACTGCCTTGCCGTGGCAAAGGGGCTTGAATAACTCAGAGAAGCTATGAACTATGCCGAGCAGGGCACCCAAGATTAACAGGTCATAGTGGAGAGTTTTGACGAAACGTGATTCACCTGGAGCAGGAACCGGCAAGCCACTCCAGTATCCCTGCCAAGAAAACTCCATGGCCAAAGACAACAGGCATATAAAAGTTGTGACGCTGGAAGATGAGCCCCTCAGAAGGCGTCCAACATGCTACTGAGGAAGAGCGGAGGACAAGTACAAGTAGATTCAGAGCTGATGAAGTGGCTGGGCCAAAGCCGAAAGGACGCTCAGTTGCGGATATGCCTGGAAGCGAAAGGAAAGTCCAATGCTGTAAAGAAAAATGTTTCATAGGAATCTGGATTGTAAGAAGCTACCAGCATGAGTTTGAACAAACTGCGGGAGGCAGTGGCAGACAGGAGTGCCTGGAGTGTTCTGGTCCATGGGGTCACGAAGAGTTGGACACGACTAAATGACTAAACAACAACAACATGTCGTTCATCATTTTATAAACTTCTATCACCTCGCCTCTTACTCACCTTTTCTCTAAATAAAAAGGTCCGAAATGCTGCAGCTTTTCTTCATAGGGGAGTTGCTCCATCACGTTGGTAATTTTGATGACCTTCTCTGAACTGTTTCCAACTCTGCAACATCCTTTTTGAGGTGAACTAACCAGAACAGTACACAGCATTCCAAATGTGGTCCTTTGGCACTGAAGAAAGAGTGATCTAGTGCCTGACAGTTTCCCTTGTGGTCTAACTGTTGTTAATAAAAAGAAGTTGCTTTAGAGCTTTTGGCAATGGGCAGTTGGTGTCACAAGGCACATGACAGAACATGTCATAATAGTCCCTTGGTGGCATCATCCTTAACTGAAGCCTCTTCCTCTTGCTCTGTGTTGCAAACTAACCTCTTTTTCTTGTTTTCTTCTTCATCTCATTCATCTCCATTTCTGGACCCTAGAAGTCAACATCCTGGCAACAAATCAAACATCAAGATCAGGTTCAGCTCAGGAACTGTGCTAGGCAGTAAGCTAGATGGTTACACCAGCAAAATCCTTCATGCACGATCAGTCAATCTTACCTGCAGATATCTTTAGACTACAATGTCCATCACTTCTGCCAATGTGGCCAATGATGGGGGATGATGGGATTTGTAGTCCAGCGAAATCTGGAGGGCGCTGTGTTTGCTGCCTGTGCCCCTCGAAACTGCACTCCCTTTCACACTTGATGCTTTGTATAATTTATTTCATATATCAAATTGTAGCAAAGAAAGGGGAAAAGAGGAGGGAGAAAGACAGAGAAAGAAAAAGTGAAAGAGAGGAACATTACCTTCCCCCCCCCATCAGCTCACATACATCAACCATTGATACATCCATAATTTAAACATATATGTTGATATATGGCCTTGAAATGTCCGAATTGGTATTTACACGAAGCTGACATTTATAGCACACTGGATCTCTCATAAGAAAAGGCTGGCTGTTGGATCAAGGCCCAAGCTGATGGCCAAAACTACTTCTTGTAGGAGCAAATTCCACCATTTAATTCTGTGTTGTGAGAAGCACAGTGGTACCTCTGGTTACAGATCTAATTCGTTCTGGGGTGCCATGCGCACCCCCAAAAAATCTGTAACTAGAGGCGCCACTTCTGTGCACATGCACGGCGTGATAGAGCACTTCTGCGCATATGCAAGCGGCGAAACCCAGAAGTATACACTTACACACCTCTATCATTTCCCCCTTTGCAGTGGTGTAGTGTGGGTTGCAAGTGCCCGGGGCCATAGAGAACAGAGAGAAACTGGGTGGCTGGGACAGAGAGAAACAGACAGAGTGCACATGCACATTCAACTGCCTAATGGCGTCCACATCACCCAGGACATAGACATAAGAAAAGAAGAGTTGTTCCGTTGTCTGGAGAGGTCACTTCCTGGTTCACATGGAGAAATCCATTTTCAACCAAGTCCAGTGATGGAAGTGCACAGTTGCATTGAGGCAGCACTGAGTGTTGAAATTTCGCACCCCTCACAATTTTGCACCAAGGGCAATTGTCCCTGAGCTCCCCATGCTACACCACTGCCCCCTTGACACGATTTCCCCCCCTCCCCCAATACCCAATGCTGCAAGCTTTCTTCACAGGGAATTGCAGCAGCACCTTGCTCATTTTGGTCCTTTCGTGAATCTTGTCCAGCTCTACTATGAATCAGAGAGATGCAACTGAATAAAAACAGGCTCTCTGTCTCATCCAGCCAGATCTTGGCAATCCAACTTTTCTCGATAGCCTTGTTCCAGATAAACTCTTTAATGATTAATCACGCAGTGAAATGAAAAGCAAATGAAATTGATCTTCTTAATGATGCACCCCTTTAGCCAAAATTTGAAAATACAGTGGTACCTCAGGTTACACATAGGTAAAGGTAAAGGTACCCCTGCCTGTACAGGCCAGTCTTGACAGACTCTAGGGTTGTGCGCTCATCTCACTCTAGAGGCCGGGAGCCAGCGCTGTCCGCAGACACTTCCGGGTCACGTGGCCAGCATGACGAAGCTGCTCTGGCGAACCGGCACCAGAGCAGCACACGGAAACGCTGTTTACCTTCCCGCTAGAAAGCGGTACCTATTTATCTACTTGCACTTAAGGGTGCTTTCGAACTGCTAGGTGGGCAGGAGCTGGGACCGAACAACAGGAGCTCACCCCGCTGCGGGGATTCGAACCGCCAACCTGATGATCGGCAAGTCCTAGGCGCTGAGGTTTTACCCACAGCGCCACCCGCGTCCCCAGGTTACACATGCTTCAGGTTAAAGATGCTTCAGGTTACAGACTCCACTAACCCAGAAATAGTACTGAAGGAATGGGTTTCTGTGCAGGGACCCAAAATCCACTTTTTTCCCTTTTCCAAGGGAGCATTTCTAAAATGCTTTAACTTGAGCTCTTGAGCCAAAACCCAGCTGTATAATCAAGTACTCAAAGCTCTCTCCCTTATCAGTCCATGAAGGCCGGTAATGACAAATGGCCTTGTCTATTCCAAAGTGGAGCAGGGATGACACTCTGGGCCTTATCTTACACCCTGACCACAAAGACCACAAAGACGCACAGACCTAGTCCGGGAACAGCGCCATAGTGTGTTCTTGGAGTTGGTGACCTCTTGCTCCAAGATAAGAGTGTAAGAACAGGAATACCCTTTTATGGTCAGAAGTACAGGAAGGAATACCCTTTTATGGTTAAGAGTAACCAGAGCAGGAACATCTGTGATGTCAACTTGCGTGTACAAGCTGGTGCTTGGATTCCTGGGGAAGGGGGAGAGGGTGCCTGGAGGATATATATACTGCATGAAATCTCTCATTTCTTTGGACTTGCTGTGGACTGACCACACAAGTGCCTTTCTGCTGTTCTGGAGAGCAGGAATAAAGAACTCTTTCTCTGAACCAACCCTCGGTGTCATTTGACTTCAGAAGGTTTCATGGCATTCCTGTGTAGAGTTTTCACAGTTCAGTTATATTTGCTTTGTGAAACATCACCATTATTACACCATAGTAGCAGGAGACATCAGTATATTCCTATGAGGAATACCTCTTCAAGTTACAAGAAGGGGGTTTCCAACTAAACATCAGGAAGAACTTTCTGACAGTAAGAGCTGTTCGACAATGGAGCAGTCTCCCTTGGCAGGTGCTGGACTCTCCTTCCTTGCCAGTTTTTAAGCAGAGGTTGGATGGTTATCTGTCATGGATGTTTTAGCTGAGATTCCTGCATTGCAGAAGGTTGAACTTGATGACTCTCGCGGTCCCTTCCAACTGCTTCCAATTCTATGATGCTGTGAACACGCCAACTGCAAGTGATTGCATCCAGCTGCATCATGATGAAGCTGCTAACTGACTTTTCACTTCCTTTCTGTCCAGCCATCGTGAATTTGACAGCAGCATTTGCAAAAGGCGGGAAATGCTCGACCAGCCCTGGCCCCAGCCTGGTGGAACACTGTCACAAGAGACCAGGGCCCTGTGGGATTTGACATCTTTCCGCAGGGCCTGCAAGACAGAGCTGTTCCGCCAGGCCTGTGGTCCGGGCACAATCTGACCCCCTTCTTTCTATGGGACTCTGTATGTAAGTGGCTTCCTTGGCTTTTTCCATCAGCTCATATGGGACCAGCACAGGTATCCAGGCCTGGTGAACTTTTAATTCCTTACCCCTACAGTTATGATTTGTGGGTTCCCACTTAATTTTATTTTGATTTTAAATGTGATTCAAATTGTATTTTAAACTAATAATTTGATTTTGTGTTTTTAATGTATTATATATTTGGTGTTAGCTGCCCTGAGCCCAGTCTTGGCCGGGGAGGGCTGGGTATAAATAAAAAAAATTATTATCATTGTTGTTGTTGTTTAGTCATTTAGTCGTGTCCGACTCTTCATGACCCCATGGACCAGAGCACGCCAGGCACTCCTGTCTTCCACTGCCTCCGCAGTTTGGTCAAACTCATGTTAGCATCTTCAAGAACACTGTCCAACCATCTCATCCTCTGTTGTCCCCTTCTCCTTGTGCCCTCAATCTTTCCCAACACTTTCCTAAGAATTGTCTGTGGGGAAAACTTTTCTGTGTTGTGTTCCAGGCGCTGCTGCTTATTTGCAAATTGATTAACAGATTATTATTCTTATTCTTCTTCTTATTATTATTATTAAATCTGTTGATCGATGTGCAAATAAGCAGCAACGCCTGGAACACAACACAGAAAAGTTTTTTTCCACAGACAATTCTTAGGAAAGTGGCCAGATAAATTAAATATAAAGGTAAAGGAACCCCTGACCATTAGGTCCAGTCGTGACCGACTCTGGGGTTGCGGAGCTCATCTCGCTTTACTGGCCGAGGGAGCCGGCGAACAGTTTCCGGGTCATGTGGCCAGCATGACTAAGCTGCTTTTGGCGAACCAGAGCAGCACACGGAAATGCCGTTTACCTTCCCACCAGAGCGGTACCTATTTATCTACTTGCACTTTGAGGTGCTTTCGAACTGCTAGGTTGGCAGGAGCAGGGACCGAGCAATGGGAGCTCACCCCGTCGTGGGGATTTGAACTGTCAACCTTCTAATTGGCAAGTCCTAGGCTCTGTGGTTTAACCCACAGCACCACCCGCGTCCCAAAATTAAATATACTTAGGAGAAAATAGATGTGAGGGAGATATTCGTTGTTCCGATGTCGAAAGGCAAAGTTGCAAGGAATACCTGCTTGCAATATTCCCTGCTCCGATGCAGAAACATATAGTTTTCTTTCAACATTGCGTGGGCACTGCAACTTTATAAATAGAGGGAACCTCCTAGCTGCATGCAAAGTTGCCTTCCCTGTGCCTTAGAGTCTCTTTCCTCTGGCCATCAGAGAAAACTCCAGCCATGACGTTTCCTTACCTCAGTCTAGCTGTACAGGTTGTTCTTGTCTTCAGTACTATTGCAGGTAAGAGAGCAGTTCTGATTATTCTTATGCTTAAGGTAAGTTTCCTATGCTTATGACAATATTTTGTGCTCTAGTTCATCATGCTGTTTTAAACGTGCATTTCGTATTTTACTTCCTTCAATAATGTTGACTTTTGAAATGTTTAAGTTTTTTTGTTAACTTTGCCTGCATTGCGTGTGCATTCTACAGTGGGCCTCTTTTGCAATGTTTTGTTTTGAAATCTTTAAGTTAATATTTTAGTTTAATTATATTGTTTTGAATGTATACTATATATTTGATTTTTTCTGGCTTGCTTTATTTGACCCTCGGGGTCCCTCCCAGCTATACAATTCTATGTGTCTCTGATGCTATTTGATGTTTTAATGTAGTCATAAACAATAAACAAAACATCAAAAAGTACAGAACCAAACTGAACAATTTCCACATAAATCATTTGATCTAAAATAAAGATATAAAAATAATAATAACAGCAACAACCCTCTCCAGACAATACCTCAGCAACCTTAGCTTTTGTAGCTGGAGTCAGTCCAGGTCCTGCCCTCCCAGGCCAGGTGGAAAAGGTCTGTAAGGCAGAGGACAGGTCTTCCTGGAATCTCTGCCGATATGGTCTCTGGCCTTTTCAGCAGCCTCAGCTTTTGTAGCTGGAGTCAGTCAGGTACTGCTAGGATTGCCATATTTTGAAGAGCAAAAAAAGAGGACACATTTGCCGACTTCTACTTTTAACTATGGATCGTTATGACGACTCTACCCATGAAAGAGGATGTGTCCTGGGGAAAGAGGACATATGGCAACCCTGAAAGCTAATGACTGCCAATCCACAGGAAGATTTCAGTCACGAGCAGAGGTCGCTTCTGAACTCTTCCATCCAACTGTGGTGTTAACACAATACGTTGTAAGAGTGAGAGATATCCAATGAGTCGCCCATATGCACAACCCTGAGCTCCTGCTCTCAGGTGTGGATCTTCATCTGGGGGTGCAGAGACACGGCTTGGTTTATGCTGAAGGGGAAAGCGATGTGTCGCTTTATGAATCAGACTAGCGGATAAATACATTCCAGGCACATTGATGCTGTTTTTAATATGCTGGACTTTTAATGTCCTGGGTCTTCATTTAGTTATTTCTATTTAAAAAATTCCTTCCAGTAGTACCTTAGAGACCAACGAAGTTTGTTATTTGTATAAGCTTTTGTGTGCATGCGAAGTGTATCTGAAGAAGGGTGCATGCACACGAAAGCTCATACCAATAACAAACTTTGTTGGTCTCTAAGGTGCAACTGGAAGGAATTTTTTATTTTGTTTCAACTATGGCAGACCAACACGGCTACCTACCTGTAACTAGTTATTTCTATGTTTATTGTTTATTTCATAATATTTATTCACCACTTGATGTGGGGGAGAACCTCCAAGTGGTTTACCAGGGGAATAAAAGAATAAAATTATCCAGAAAAAGTTAAAAGCAACCCTTTAAAACATTCAAAAGAGAAAATCAGCAGCCCTGTTTTGTATATTTTCCTGATGATAACCGAATCCTAAAGGCTTCTCCATCACCAACTCTTTGTACGCAGCGCACAGACAGGGGGAAGTAGTGAAGAATTTGGCGCAAGTCGTTATCTGCAACGAAGGCCGGGGATACTGCCTTGATGTTCAGTCCCGGTGTCCCTCGGGCCTTGTGTTCAACAACAACAACTGTCCGAACAAAACAATAAACAAGTGCTGCACTCCGTTTGAAGGAAGAGGCGTGTGAGGAGCCCCGATCAGCTGCAAGGACCTTCTTCCGTTGTTAAGAAGAAGAATCCCTTCCAATGAATCAATAAATGTTATTCAATATGTGTAATGAGTATGAGTTACTCGTGTGTAAACTGTTGCCTCTCTAGGCTAATTTGCCTTGTTAAACCTTTCTGACTGCACAGCCCTGTTAAAATCCACTGCTGGCTCACTTCTTGCCAGCACCAACATTTGCTTTAGCTGTTCCTCTGACTTTCTTCTTCCTGTTCTTACGTTCTTTACCCTGTTTCCTTGAAGTCTTTTTCTTTTCATACAAACCATGCCTGGCTAGTCTGTGCTTTGGTTCATTTTTCTTTGCATAGTCGAGGGAATCGTAGATCATGCCAAAGCTTGTTGTCTTCCCACCTCCAAAATGAGTCCTGAAGCCAAAGACGAAAATGACATCTGGGATTGTCTTGTACATTTTGGCCAACTTTTCGTGGATTTCAGTTTTGGGAACAGTGGCCTTTCCAGGATGAAGAACATCTATCACCATCTGCTTATGCTGAAGCAGCCTATTGGTCATGAACTTCCTTGTTCGGATGGTGACACTGTTGTTCATCTTGGCGGCGTCTCCGGCAAAAGGCCTCTAGTCCCCATTTTGTTTGTCAGGACATACACTAGTATGGTTTGTTTGTTTTTTAGGTATATTGTGACCCTGCAGTGAGGGTGGAGGAAAATTTCAATTCAGAATTTAAAAGGAAACTTATCCAATTCATACTTTCTAAAACTATAAAGGAACGAAAACACAGCCGTCCTTTGAAATTTGCACTTCTCTGAATTTTGCAATGCAATTTCCCCAGCCAAATAATGTGTACCAAAAAACACACACATGCTTGGTAAAGTGTGAGTGCAACTGCATAGATGAATGAAGGTGGCATTATACTGGGAGGAACCAACCACCCAAAAAAGTGTATATTGGCAAAATTGTTTATAATGGGAGAAATTTGCCCTGAAACGTTAGGATTAAAGATGTTTAATGAAATGAAAATTTGACAATTAAGAGGTAAAATTTTAATGTTATATTACATTAAGACTAAAGATTAGGTTTAAAGAAGTTGAAGTTATATATTTCAATATTATATTAAATTAAAGACTGGGATTAAAAAAAGTGGAAAAGAAATTGCTGGACAAACAATTTGGATTGGAATACAAAAGAGGGAGGTATGAGGAAGTCCAGAAAATAAGCAAACTTAAAGACGGAAATGGAAAAGAGATATTGTTTTTTTTAATTGTTATGTTCTTTTTTTTATTGTTGATTCTTGTCTTTTGTGGTTTTTTTTATTTTCTCTTTGAGATTTGTATGGTGTATTTGTGTATTTTTCTTTGATGTTTTTCCTTTCTTTTTTTGGTTGTTTAATTTTTGATTGAAACTTTAATAAAAATTATTATTAAAAAAAGAAAGAAAGAAATTTGCCCTGAAACGAATCAATGTGAGAACTTTAAAAAAAACCCTGCTGTGGGAATGTGGAGAACTGATCTTATGCCTGGTAAAATGAGAAGCTGGGAGGGTCTAAAATTTGCCCCTCAATAACCCATCAGAGCCTTCAATGCATGGGCGAAAGGCTGAGATATTTGATGGGAGGGCAGAATGCTCAGGCCACTGCCATGTATTTCTATATTATTAGATCCATATGTATGTGTGCTTCTCCTCTTCCTCCCCAATCCTCGCCTCACAACAACCCTGTGAGTTAGGCTAAGCTGCATGACAGTGGCTGGTCCACGGTTCCCCCAGTGAGCTTCACGGCTTGAGTGGGATTTGAACCCTGATCTCCCAGGTCCTGAGTCCCACACTCTAACCACTTGTTGTTGTTTAGTCGTTTAGTCGTGTCTGACTCTTCGTGACCCCATGGACCAGTAACGCGCTCCGTTACTTCCCGGTTGCCACGGAGTGCAACTCGAACGCGCTCAACTCGAAGCGTATTCAACCCGAGGTATGACTGTATTTGTTGTTGTTTAGTCGTTTAGTCGTGTCTGACTCTTCATGACCCCATGGACCAGAGCACGCCAGGCACTCCTGTCTTCCACTGCCTCCCGCAGTTTGGTCAGACTCATGTTCGTAGCTTCAAGAATACAGTCCAACCATCTCGTGCTCTGTCGTCCCCTTCTCCTTGTGCCCTCCATCTTTCCCAACATCAGGGTCTTTCCTAGGGAGTCTTCTCTTCTCATGAGGTGGCCAAAGTATTGGAGCCTCAGCTTCACGATCTGTCCTTCTAGTGAGCACTCAGGGCTGATTTCCTTCAGAATGGATGCGTTTGATCTTCTTGCAGTCCATGGGACTCTCAAGAGTCTCCTCCAGCACCATAATTCAAAAGCATCTATTCTTTGGCGATCAGCCTTCTTTATGGTCCAGCTCTCACTTCCATACATCACTACTGGGAAAACCATAGCTTTAACTATATGGACCTTTGTTGGCAAGGTGATGGCTCTGCTTTCTGCTTTTTAAGATGCTGACTCTAACTCCAGTATCTCTGCCAAGAAAACTCTATGGACAAAGAGAACTCTAGCCACTACACCACACCAGATATCACTGCACGTGCATTCCAGACAAGGGACAGGAAGAAGAGTGTCCCCTCTCTCTGTGTTCTGCTTTTCTGCCACTCACCAATAGGGAGATCTCCCCCTCTGTAGGCCCACCATGGCTAAGGGACAGGCAAAGGGAAAGAACTGGGAGGAGAGGGAAGTCCCATTCAGCCTAGCAACCCTCCTCCTCTCAAAGCAGAGACTGGCATACACACTCCCTCTTTCTCCTCCTGGAAGGAGAGCTGTACCTTCAAACGGTTTAGGATGCCTCTGGCTCTAACATGCAGGATACTTCCATCTCTACCATGCCATTATTCACACAAACCACCATACATTTAGCATCCATGAAAAGTGGCCCTATGCATTTGCCAGTGTGGGAGTGTAGAGCTGCTAATTGTTTGTTGTTGGGGGATATCCTGGGTCATTTTGGACTTCCGTGTGTGTGGAAGAACACTGTCCACATTCCTCCAGCAGCCAGGGTCTTCTCATATCCTTACATTGTTCCCTTTAGTCAAAGTCAAGTAAAGGACCCCTGGATGGTTAAGTCTAGTCAAAGGCGACTATGGGGTGCGGCGCTCATCTCGCTTTTCAGACCAAGGGAGCCAGCATTTGTCCACATTGTCATGTGGCCAGCAGGACTAAACGGCTACTGGTGCACGGAGGACTGTGACGAGTGCCAGAGCGCACAGAAATGCCATTCACCTTCCTGCCACAATGGTACCTATTTAGCTACTTGCACTGGTATGCTTTCAAACTGCTAGGTTGGCAGGAGCTGGGACAGGGCAATGGGAGCTCGCTCCATCTTACTTTAGTGCAGGTAGTGGGTGGGGGGCAAGCTAACTTAGGGGGGTGGAAGATGCCCTGTTCGCCAACACCTCATTGGCGCTGCCTATTCTTATCTTGAAAATTTTTAACAACAACAAAAGTAAGGCGCTACCCAGCAACCCCCAGCATCTGAGCAGATAAACCAAGCCTTATGAGGAACAGTTGAAGGAGCTGGGTATGTTTAGCCTGGAAAAGAGGAAACTGAGGGGAGGTAAGATAGCCATCTTCAAATATCTCAAGGGCAGTCACATGGAAGAGGGTACAAGCTTGTTTTCTCCTGCTCTGGAGGGTAACCAATGGCTTCAAGTTAGAAGAAAGAACATTCTGACCAAACATACAGAAAAACGTTCTGATAGCAAGAGCTGTTCGACAGTGGAAAGGTCTCTGTTATGTATTGAAGTTCTCACCCTGGCCACCAGGAGTATCGTGTATACAGTGGTACCTCGGGTTACATATGCTTCAGGTTACATACGCTTCAGGTTACAGACTCCTCTAACTCAGAAATAGTACCTCGGGTTAAGAACTTTGCTTCAGGATGAGAACAGAAATCGTGCTCCGGCGGCACAGCGGCAGCGGGAGGCCCCATTAGCTAAAGTGGTCTTCAGGTTAAGAACAGTTTCAGGTTAAGAACGGACCTCCGGAACGAATTAAGTACTTAACCCGAGGTACCACTGTATAGTTTTCACTCAGTTCCACGTCAGTTAATTTAGGCGGGGAACCCTGGGTTGTTGTTGCTACAATGTTGACAGCCGACTGTCTATAAAAGCAGGCCAGCTGAGCTGTTCAGTTCAGTTCAGTTACAGCTTACTTATAAAGAACAACTTGGAGAAATCTCTGTGTCATCTGTTATGTCCACCCACTACTTAATAGTCTCCCTTGGGTGGTGGTAGACTCTGCTTCCTTGGAGGTTTCTAAGCAGAGGTTGGAAGGCCATCTATCAGGGATGCTTTAGCTGAGATTCCTGCATTGCAGGGGGTTGAACTTGATGACTCCAGTGGTCCTTTCCGACTCTAGAGTTCTATGATTCTGGGCTGCCCAAGGAAGGTGCCTCCCTCTGCCCAAGGATAGGGCCAGCTCTGTGTGGCTGCCCGACAAGTTCAGTTGCTCAGAGCAGGCAGGAGGCTACTCCAGGCTCATTGTGATGTCTGGCCAGTGTTCACAGAGCACCCGTCATCACCACCACTCTGGTCCAAGGAGCTGGTGGGCCTTTGTGATGTGGGCGTGACTCCAAGAAGGGGACGCCTGGCTGGGCCCAGGAAGTACTCTTGCTCTCCAGGTCAACAGGCAGTTTTTTCTTCCTGCCGGAAATGAGCTGGTGTCACTGGGCCTTCGAGCTGATACAGCTCTTGATCTTCATCACTCTCTGGGTCTTCTGGGTGGCTGCAGCCTTGTGGGTAAGAGACTCTCCTCAGCGGAGGATCACAGAGGAGCCTTCCAGCCTAACTTCAGGGTCCCTGTAGAGCAGCCTTTCTCAACCTGTGGGTCCCCAGATGTTCTTGAACTACAACTCCCATCACCCCTAGCTAGCAAGGCCAGAGCTCGGGGATGATGGGAGTTGTAGTCCAACAAGATCTGGGGACCCACAGGTTGAGAACCGCTGCTGTAGAGAAATGAATGGGCAGCAAGTGCAGCAAGCCCAGAACTGGGATTACATGCCCATGACTTCTTGGCATAGTAAACAATCTACCCTTGGTTGTTGTTTTTGAACCATCATCAATGGAAGTCCTGCGTGCAACACATTACAATCATCTAACTTGTAGGTTACTAGAGCATACACAACAGAAACCATGCTATCCCCATCCACATAGGTTCACAACCAAAGCTGACAGAAGACACTTTGTGTCACTGAGCTGCCTCCATTGACAAGGTTTACTGAGGACTTGTGTGGGACATGCAGGGGGTGGAGTCTGGGAGATAAAGGGTGTGGCTTAGCATATCGGGGGCGGGGCCTGGTGGAACTGGGTGAGATCTCAGATGTACAGAAAAGGCTACAACTTACTTAAACTTTGTTGTTCACCTACCCAATGCTGTCTCCTTTTTACCTCTTGTGCAACAGGCTTGTAGCCCCAGGACCAGGTGGCTAAAGCTTCATGAGACATGGATTGGTGAGCAGTCAGTCTATTCCTTTAGTCTCTTTGGGGAAGGTAGCATAGCTGTCAAATTACAGATTTGAAAATAAGGGACCAGCAGCCTCAAAAATAAGGGATCAGCAGACAAAATAAGAGATTTTCCAGGCACAGGTATGTTCAACTTCTAAGCCCCTCCAAGCCAAAGGCAGAAAGCCCAGCCAGCAGCCAAACGAAGCCTCAAGCGGTGGTTCCCACAGCGCAGCAAGCCAGCAAAGGGGATGCAGCAAGGAAAACCACCGTCACTTCTCCGCTGGGAAGTGCTGAGCAAAGGCGAGTCCCCAGGAAACGCAGCTGACTTGATTGGCACAAAGCATGCAAGCTCCACCCCCCCCAGTCGTTCTTAGGCTCCTTATTGGGTGAGCAACGCAGCCAAGCAACACAGTTGGAGCCTCCCTTCTCCCTGGCAGGGAGGGAGGGAGAGGAGCTGCTTCCTCTGAAACCCGGGAAATTTAAGGGACATCATCAATAAGGGACAGCAGCAGGAAATGGCGCTGGGATAAGGGAGTTTCCCGCCAAATAAGGGACGGTTGACAGCTATGGAAGGTAGACTTGGATTGTTGGCCTTCACAAGCCTCTCTGTCTCTTGCTTTCAGCCTGCAACGGATTCTTTCAGAAAGAAAGCAAAGCGAGCAGCTCAAAGAAGTAAGTGGTAGCCAGTTTCCCTTTCTCCCACTGCCCTCTGTAGCACCCTCCTTGCTGTCCCAAACCATTAGGTCCCACCATATTTGGAGGAGAGGTGAATGTCCTGTGGCTGTGAAACACTTTCCTTTCTGTATTTAATTTTTATTTACTTATTTCTCTGGAGACTCTCCAAAATACATTATGAAAACCTGTATTTCTGTAAATACACAACTTATAATATTATACATCTGTAAAACACATTCCGATTAAGCGATCCACAAGTTAGTATAAACCTTTGGTACTGGTCTTTGGGTTTCCTGGAGAATTTGTAAATGAAATGAAGCACCGCTGTTCTTCCACAAATATATATTTGTACTTTGTTCCTCTTGTCAGTCTTAATTTGTGAATCAACTTTTTGTAAGGGCAATGTGCCAAGCACTCAAATTTACACCATTTACCGTATTTTTCGCTCCATAAGGCACACCTGACCATAAGACGCACCTAGTTTTTAGAGGGGAAATCCAAGGAAAAAATATTATTTAAAGGGACCGCTGAGCAGAGCCTGTATGCATCCCAGGCTCTGCTCAGCGCTCCCTTTCACCAGCCGCGTGGAGCATGTGTGCAGCGCTTGCAGGCTTTTCCCCGAGGAGGGAGAAGGGCTGCCCATCACTGATGGGTGGCAGGATGAAGGCTCCCCGTGCCCTGCGGAGGCTTTGCACGGCTAAGCCAGAAGCTAGAACAGCGAGAGGGAATGCTGCGCAGTGCTCCCTCTCGCTGTTCTGGCTTTTGGCTTAGCCGCGCAGCCTGCATTCGCTCCATAAGATGCACACACATTTCCCCTTACTTTTTAGGAGGGAAAAAGTGAGTCTTATAGAGTGAAAAATACGGTAAATCCTTCCAGAATGTGACTACAGTGGTGCCTCGCAAGACGAAATTAATTCGTTCTGCGAGTTTTGTCGTCTTGCGATTTTTTTCATCTTGCGAAGCACGGTGTCGGCAAAGTTTTGGAAAAGCTTCAAAAATCACCAAAGTCTTTAAAAACCTCAAAAAAGGCTACCACACCACGTTCTATGAGTTGCTCCTCGAAGTCAAGTCGCAACTGTATTAACGGTGTTAAGAAAAAGGAAACAAACTTGCAAGACGTTTCCGTCTTGCGAAGCAAGCCCATAGGGAAAATCGTCTTGCGAAGCAGCTCAAAAACCGCAAAACCCTTTCGTCTAGCGAGTTTTTCATCTTGCGAGGCATTCGTCTTGCGAGGTACCACTGTATAACCATGCTGACAGCCACTAGGAGAAATCCAGTCCAGCTTCTCATTTAAATACAGTGGTACCTCGGGTTAAGAACTCAATTCGTTCTGGAGGTCTGTTCTTAACCTGAAACTGTTCTTAACCTGAAGCACCACTTTAGCTAATGGGGCCTCCTGCTGCCACTGCGCCGCCACTGCATGCTTTCTGTTCTCATCCTGAAGCAAAGTTCTTAACTCGAGGTAATATTTCTGGGTTAGCGGAGTATGTAACCTGAAGCGTATGTAACCTGAAGCGTATGTAACCTGAGGTACCACTGTATAAATTTAGTAGCTCAAGCTCTGGAGACTTCCTGACACGCTGATGGGTAATTTTACTTATTTCATTTAACACTTGTCCTCAAAAAGTTGTCACTTTGGGGCATGTCCACCACAAGTGCCTATAGCTGCCTGCAACTTACTCTAAGATTCACCCCTGACTTCCATTTGAAGTCCATTTCCTGCATATGCTTTCTTTTTTTATCTACTGCAAATCATCCAGAAAGCTCCCTTCTGACTGTCCTTGCCCTATAGCAGTGGTTCTCAACCTGTGGGTCCCCAGATGTTGTTGGACTACAACTCCCATCATTCCTAGCCAACATGACCAGTGGTCAGGGATGATGGGAGTTGTAGTCCAACAACATCTGGGGACCCACAGGTTGAGCACCACTGCCCTATAGGATACTGAGGAGAACACATTGTCCTTCGATCCACCCCTGCGGTTAGCCTTCATGCCCTTGTGTGCTGTGCAAGGAAGCTTCATTATCATCTCAGTGGCTACTGACCTGATGGGCATGTTCTAACTTCACTGCCAGAGGCAACATGCTTCTGAACACCAGTTGCTGGAAACCACAGGAGGGGAAAGTGCTCTTGTAGTCAGGTCCTTCTGGTGGACTTCCCACAGACATCTGGTTGGCTGCTGTGAGAACAGGATGCTGGACTAGATGGTCTACTGGCCTGATCCAGCAAGGCTCTTCTTATGATCTTGCATTAACACCAAATTAAACGAAGTCCAATCTGTTTCTGATGATGCAGTCCAGGCATTCCAGCCTGGCCATGCTCAGTTCCCATCAGGTTTTGACAGCTGAACTGGCTACCAGATAGATCTTCCAAAGAATCCTTAGCCAGCCTGTCTCCTTCCCACCAGACTTCCAGAGCCAACTGAGATCTTGACCTTGGAGTGCAGACTGAGCTCTACAGAGGTGAACATCCCACCCCAACCGAAGGAGCTGGAGATGGATCTGGAATCGTAAGTCAGTGGACAATGGAGAAGGAGGGAGAGAGAGGGAGAGCAACAAGGTCTGGGGTCCAAAATAGGTATGATGTGGGGAGATCCATGGTTCAAACTTCCAACTAGGAATTGGGAAAGGAGGGGGAATTGCTGCATTTTAATGTGACCTTTCCTAATTTGCACCTCCTCAACCAATAGGCAAACCAAAGCATGCCAGACATAAAACACTAGAGTTGGAAACATAGCTGTCAACTTTTCCCTTTTCTTGTGAGGAATCCTATTTGGAATAAGGGAATTTCCCTTTAAAAAAGGGAAACGTTGACAGCTATGATTAGAAGGGACCTCAAGGGTCGTCCAACCCACTGCAATGCAGAAATTATAGCTAAAGGATCTCTGGCTGATGATCATCCAGCCTCTGTTTAAAAACCTCCAATGAAGGAGAGTCCATCACCTTCTGAGTCTTTTCCGCTGTCAAACACCTCTTTGCATCGGATTGGTCTACCTGGTGTTTAGTGGGAATCTCCTTCTTTGAAGTTCGAATCTTGCTCCACCTTCCATGTGACAGCCATTTAATACTTGATATTTCTAATAAATACATTTCTAAAATACACATTGTTGTTCGTGCTTTTGGCTAACATACACATTTCTGCAAGCAATTTCCCCTGATATAATGCATTTCTGCAATGTTATTTCCCACTATTATGTACATCTTCATGCACATTTTCTCCTTTATATATATGTTTTTGTACACATTCTTTAGTTGGGGAACTGCAAAAGCAACACCCAGAAGGAGTTGCTCCTCTCTCTTTTATTTACTGCAGAGGTGAGGAACATGTGGCCCTCCAGTTGCCGAACTACACATCCCATCAGCTCCAGCAAGCATGGCGAATGGCCAATGATTATGGGACTTGTAGTTCATCAACATCTGGTGTACCAAAGGTTCCCCACAGACCTGATTTACTGTATTCCACAGAGCCATAATTCTCATATCTGTTTGTGTGTGTTTCTGCCCATTAGAGTCCTGTCTAGTCTCTCCAGCACCTCCTTGGGCTCCCTCACGTCCATCAGCAGCAATTGGTCTTTGTCCTCATCAAGCGATGATGTAATAAGCCTCCCAGACACGCCCCTCACCTCCTCACCATCCGCCCCAGAGGAAGATGGCCGGTACTCACCACTGCTTCACAGACCCTGTGGAGCTGGCCTTGAGGAACTCCACAGAGACCCCACGTCCCACCAGCCTGTTCAGTTCAACATCTGCCGGAAGGTGCTTCAGGAGTTGTGGGGGGAGCCGACGCCCAACTGGGAGTCCCTGAACAAACTGATCCCTGGTGCACCAAACCTCCAGCAAGCATCTGAGGTCACCAGCGAAACTGACTTTGACAGCATCTCCAGCAGAAGAAGCAGAGAGGAAGCTTTGAGCAAGTGGGAGAGACATCAGCCTCTGAGCGATCAGGAAGAAGTTCAGCGCAGCAGCTCATGGGAAATGTTCGCTGTTGTGCCCAGGCCCTCAAGCTGTGAGTAACAGGCCCCATTCTCACCCCCATTTTCACTAAATACAGTGGAACCTTGGGTTGCGAACGTGATCCATGCGGGAGGCACGTTTGCAAGCCTCAGTGCCGCGTCTGCGCATGCACAGATCGCAATTTGGTGCTTCTGCGCATACGCAAAGCATGGTTTAGCACTTTTGCGCATGCGAGAGCGCCAAAACCCGTTCTGGTACTTCTGGGTTCGGCGCGGTGCGCAACCCGAAAACACATAACCTGAAGTATCTGTAACTCGAGGTACCACTGTACTCTTCTGCACATCATTGAGGAAGGTTGTAGCTCTTCCAAGCATCTCTGCCTTCTACACACATGGAACATTCCTGGACAGGGGAACTGGCCATGTTGTAAGCTCTCCCCCTCCCCCTGTCATTCTAAGAGAAAACTGCTTCCCAAAGGAGTGAGACTTGAACCCAGAACACTCTGGCCTGAGTCACAAGTTGCTGTTGATGGTAGTGGTGGCAATTGCACTTGTTCATTTCTCACTACATAAAATGTCTCAAAGCAATTGCACAATTCAAAACCCATACAAATACGAAAGTTTAAATGAAACATCAAACAACGTTATTTTCTGAAACTGCTCATTTGGGGCACAGCGAGTGATGACCATAGAGACAAATTTGCACATGCCAAGTTATTTATTCATCTCCATTTGTGAATCACTTCCCATGAAGCAACTCAACGCAATGTAAAAGGTACATTCTGGTTGTAAAGATGTTGTTTCCCCACAGATTCTTCTCCAAATCAGTTCTGTTTGCTTTCCATTGTCTCCATTCATTAAAAACATATACAAGCCAACACAAATAAATGTGTTACCCTAAATTAAAACTTACCCAGTAAACACAGATCACTGCCCCCACAATTCAATTTCCCCCAAAATCATTACCCACCTTGGGGCATGGGGGGGGGGAGATTTGGGTTGGTACCCCATAGTTCTCCTCCATAGGGGTCAGTGGGAAGAGGCAACAAGGTTTGTCTCTCTTCCCATCACCTGTGTCACTGCAATCAACCAGGAGGAAGAGATGTGAGACAATGACCACTCCCCACATCAAATGGGGGGCGCCTTTTGTACAGTTGCACACAGCCCCCCCTAATCCCATGCGGCTCCCGGCAGTACAGCCTGGATTCACCCCTCCCCAGCTGGACACCTGGAGGCAGCCGCCTACCTCTGCCAGTTACCCAATCGCAGCTGGGGAGGCGTTGCCAGGAGAGAGTTGGCCAGGTAAGGGGAGGGATCGCCCTGCCCACACAATAGTGGGCGGAACTTACCTGGGAGTTTTCAGTCCACTCGGGTTTCGCCTGGGGCTGGGGGGTCTCCCCCTGTCTGCGCAATGAGGAGGTTGGTGCAGTGTGAATGCACCAGCAGAGTCAATGCAGCACCCCTGCTGGTGTGCTTTCATCACTCTGCCTTCTCTGCTGCCTCCCTCCTTCCCTTCTTCTTCCTGGTGACACTTGTGACTGGGGGTCAGGTAAACAACTACACCCCTCCTCAACAACTGCTACTGAAATGCTCTAACACAGCTTTTCTCAACCTGTGGGTCCCCAGATGTTGTTGAACTACAACTCCCATCACCCCTAGCTAGCAAGGCCAGAGCTCAGGGATGGTGGGAGTTGTAGTCCAACAACATCTGGGGACCCACAGGTTGAGAACCGCTGCTCTAACAGGTCAGGATTACCCTGGTCCCTGAATCCTCACCTTGACAATCTATCTGAGATGTTATGACATTCTGGAGAAAGAACCTGGCCATTTCTGAATACTTCTGCTTTTCTCTCTCCTCTCTCTCAGGTCCAAACTGCAACCCCCAAACTTCCCGAGTGTATTCTGGTCAACCTTTGGCTCTGCCCACATCCGACAGCATCCGGGACAGGCTCTCACCTTCAGGGAACACCAAATCAGCTCATGTGAAAGCCACGGCCCAGCTTTTGGAGGAGATGATGTCGGAGGGAGCAGTTTCCTGGGAGGAGAGACCTGCCTTGCCCAAACACCCTTCCCAAAGGGGTCAGCTTCGTCACCGTAGATCCTGCTCAGCACTTGGGTCGGATGCCACCCAGCGCTTGGACTTCAATGTGAAGAAGAAGCAGATCCCAGAGCTCTGGGGGGAGCCCACCCCTTCGACTAAGTCCCTGGCCAAACTGACCTGCCAGGCTCCCTCCTCCCCTTCCCCGGCCCGCTCCTCAAGCCCCCCACAGAGGGCTGAGAAGGAGAGAAGCAGGCAGTCTGGACCAATGAGCATCAGTCCAACTACTGTGAAAACCAGGGCCCAGCTTCTGGAGGCAATAATGCTAAGGGGAGGAACATCTTGGAAGGAGAGGCCTGCCTTGCCCAAACCTCATTCCCACAAGGCCCACCAAGCTCCCCGTGGTCCCTGCACAGCCATCAGCCCAGATACCGCTCAGCACTTGGAGTTCAACATGAAGAAGAAACAGATGCACAATCTCTGGGGGGAGCCCACTCCTTTGACTCACTCCCTGGACTGCCAGATCACCCGCTCCCCATCACCTGCACACCCCTGTAGCCCCTCACAGAGGGTTGAGGAGGAGGAGGAGGAAGAGGAAGAGCTGTCTGAGCCAGCCAGGGCCCCCTCAAGGGGGCTTGCATCCCAAACTGTGAGGGGGTGTTATCCCCAGCCCATTGCCTTTACATCCTCCCAAAAGGACAGCGCTGTCCAGGTGGCACCCAAGAAAAGAGCAGAGGATGGAAATGAGTTCAGGGTGGCGAAAAGGGTCACCCTTCCTCCCACAAGATCAGGCTTTTCAGAGAGTTCTCTAAGGAGCAGGTTTGTAAGCAGAGGTAGAACTAGGCGCCCCAGGAGCAGCCACCTCACCAGCAAAAGCAGTCCGGGGATCCTTGGTGCCCCAGAGAAGAAAGTGAAGTCTTCAGGCATGATGGGTCGAGCTGAGAGCCTTGAAAGTAAGGAAGCCCAAAGCCGTCAAGCTGGGACAGAAAATCAGAGGCAGCCCTCCAAGGGCATCAGGAAGGTGAAGGCCATTTCACACCAAGGTGCATCCCATCTAAAAGACCACAGAATCTCTCCCAAGGAACCTGTGCCCGTAGCAAAGCCTGGCAGTGCCCAGCTGGCACTTGGAGTCACGCTCCCTTTGCACCCAAGACAAGATGCCTTGCAACAGTTAGAAATCAGGAGGGCAGAGAAAATGATGGTCCCCGCACAGGAATCTGCACCTCAAGCTTCAAGGGCACCCCACTCTTCTTCCAAGAAGGAAATCCAGCTGTCAGAGCAAATGGAGGCCCCCATGCAAGAATTCACACCCCACACCTCAATGGAGTGCCACCTACCGCCACCCCTCCCTTTCTCCAGTTCTGTCCAACACACACTAGAAAGCAGTGCAGGCAGAGGCAGAGAGGGAAAGAGTCTTGTTCAAAAGGCAGAAGACAGTCCCTGCTCTGCAAGGCCTGACACCCCTATGGACCATGTAAGAAAGAGCCTTGCAGCTGGGGGTGAGCCTCACAACCCCACAGATAACAGACTCATCAGCCATGGTGGCATCCTGGAGAACAAAAGCAAGGGTGCCCCTTTCCATGTGATGGACTCAGCAGAGAGTCCTTGGGAAGTAGGAAGCCGCCAAGCAGGAGGAGAAAACACCCTGGACGACATGCACGGGAGAAAGGACATGTCCCGTGAAGATCCACCCCAACTGATGGGCCACACAGTGAGTTTGGAGGAGAACCTCCCCAAGGAACCTTTTGCTATAGCAAAGGCCAGCGCTCCTGGGCAGGTGCTGATTGCCACAGATCCTGGGCACGAATGCCAAGGTGCTTTGCAACAAGATGGAGAAGGAGGACCACCCGTGGCAAAGCCACTCTTGTCCTCTGAGAAGGGCAGCAGGACATTAGAGCAAACCAAGTCCTCCTCACAGATACCTGCCCCGGAGGTCCCCTATGCGACACTCTCCATTTCCGAGGAGAGAGAAAGCACAGCCCGAGCCATGCTGAAGCCTGAAGCTAGGGAGGGGAGGGAATTTGGACCAGCTACCAAGTTACCGACCAGCCCACTGCCCACGAGCCAAGTGGCAGCTCCGAAAGCAGTGCTGCCGTTTCAAAGCAACAACGGTGGGACGACTGTGGCCAAGCTGTCCCCAAGCACTCAGGCACTCCGTGAGCTGCCCTCCCGCCAGCAGCTAAGCCGCTCTATCCTTGCCTCCCTGAGTGTGGAGCAGACAGTGGAGGACCTGCGGCTCAGCCTGGCGCAAGGCCTCGAGATGGGCCACGGGGAGCTGCGGGCAGAGTACCCGGTGTGCCGGCAGTGCGGGAGCTGCAGCGCCATGTGCCCTCACCCCCGCACTCAGCAGGACCCGCTCCTGCACATCTTCCCGCGGCTGACGGTGCGCAACGGGAATGTGCTGATGGGCCTGGACTTCCACCTGAAGATCAACAAGATCCACGCCAGGAAGTGGGGCCTGCCGGAGACGGCAGAGGAGGGAAAGGCGCAGGAGCAGCCCCCAGAGCGATGTGGCAGTGGCAGCATCAAAGAGGGCATCTCCGCCAACCCGGGCCCCAGGGCCCCTTGCAAGCCTTCTGGAGTGGTGGTGCAGCATCTGCAAATGGGGACCCAACTTGAGGCCACCTCCTCCTCGGTCCAGGTGAGCCTTGGCAAGAAGCTGGCAGGCAAGGGCAAGTGCCTCCCACCACCCGGCTTGGAGCGCCAACTCCAGCAGGGGCTTCCGCAAGCAGGACACCATCCGAGCCGGGGCCCAAAGGACGTACCCACAACAGAGAAGCCCTCGAGGAACCCTGTGAAAAGGATGCTACATGTCATCAAGCAGGCCTGGACCCGCATTCGAGGAAACAAGGAGAAACTGGTCCAGCCTCCCGAAAAGCGGGCTACAGCTGGCGCTCGTAGAAGACTGGGGACTCCGCCAGTCAAGGATTCCTCCCGGAAGCGCTCTACACGGGCCACTTCAGCAAACCCCAAAGCGTTGGGGTTTCTAGCTACCCAAGCGGCAACCACAGCAGCCGCCCCTCCTGGACAGGCTCCCCCCATCTGCCGCATGAGGCCTAGCAGCTCAGGAAACGTCAAGTGTTCTCCTCCTGTGCAGCCCCCAAGACCTTCCAGGCAACCTTCCTCCCAGTTGGGAGCTGCCCCTAGGAAGGGGGCAACCTCCAGGAAGCCCGCAGCCTATCCCGCCACACCAGCCTTTGGGGGCCCCCAGAAATCAGGGCTTGTTGTCAACCAAAAACCCTCTTTAGTACCCCCCATGAATGTGGAGATGGCCCCGGCAAAGCAGGTCGTCCCTCCGGCATCCTTCAAGAGCACCGGGGAAACAGGAAATGCCCGCCCCAAGAAGGAGTCTCTTGGGACCACCAGGAAAGCAGGGTGTCCCCTTCCCAAAAGGGCACCCACTAAGAAAGTGTGGTTCCTCGCCAGTAAATGAGCAGCTGTTCCTTTTCTCACAACCTGCTGATGCTTTGCTGGAGCACCTTAAATGACTCAGTGGAGACCAACCTCCCTGGTGCAGATCAAAGAATGCTTATATCACAAGGGGGCAGCATGTTCATATTTATAAAATAAATATGTTGCATTTGAGGCTCTGGAAAGGTATGTCTTACAAGTAGGGATGAGTGAATCTGTCCGTTTTTGGTTTCTCGTTTGTCCTACCTTAAGTTCAGCTCTTGACATTTGCACATGAAAATTCGTCAAACTTTAATTGTGTTTTTTTCTCTCTGCAATTTTGTCCAATACATGCTTTATTTTAGTATTTCCTTCTAATACACTTTTGTATGTTATCTTCAGTCATACAGTGGTACCTCGGGTTAAGTACTTAATTCATTCCGGAGGTCCGTTCTTAATCTGAAACTGTTCTTAACCTGAAGCACCACTTTAGCTAATGGGGCCTCCCGCTGCCGCCGCGCCGCTGGAGCACAATTTCTGTTCTCATCCTGAAGCAAAGTTCTTCACCCGAGGTACTATTTCTGGGTTATTGGAGTCTGTAACCTGAAGCGTATGTAACCTGAACCGTATTTAACCCGAGGTACCACTGTACCTGGCTGGAGAACTGTGTTGCAAAACTCAGCGACATGCAAAATTCAAGGGATCTCTGTAATACAGTTGGCTGGATGGTTTCAGAAAGTGTGAAATAGGCAAGTTTGCATTTGAATGCTAACTGAAGTAGATTTCTCTCCCAGTCCCTAATTATAATGCAAAAGGATTCCTTCCCCTGGTTGATTGCTTCCCAGAATGCACACGGCAGACTGTTAACGCTCTATTTTCAAAGAGAACACAGTCGCTTCTACAGCTCTGGATTACACACACCAATCTAGTGTCTAGGCCAGGGTTTCCCAAACTTGAATCCCCAGCTGGTTTTGGACTACAATTCCCATCATCCCTGGCCACTGGCCCTGCTAGCTAGGGATGATGGGACTTGTAGTCCAAAAGCAGCTGGAAACCCAAACTTGTGAAACACTGCCCCACAGGGAGAAGTGCCCAGCTATTCTTAATGGGTCAGGACCACAATACCTCAAGGACTGCCTAACTCCATAGGAACCTGCCTGGACCCTGAGATCATCATCTGAAGCCTTTCTTCCTGTGCCTCCTCCACGACAGGTCCGAGGGTGGCAACAAAAGAAAGGGCCTTTTCTGAGGTGGCTCCCAATCTGTGGAATTCTCTCCTCAGGGAAGTTCACCTGTTCCCTTCATTATACACCTTAGGCGCAAGGCAGAAACATTCCTCTTCAACCAGGCTTTTGGCTAACATCCTTTTTTATTATTATTATTATTAGTTTTTATTGAATATTACAAGAAATGAAAGAGAAAGAGAATCAAAGAACAATACATAACACTGTAAACACATTTCTATACATATTTTCCAAAATGCAAAGAAAATAAAAAAGAGAAAAGAGAAAAGAGAGAAAAAAGAGTACTTTTCATAACCAATAATACCAAATTCATGGTTCAAACATTACAATATATAAATCCTAGTTAAAATATTATAAAATACTTCCACCGCATTCACAGTACGTCTCTTAGTTATCTTGCTCACTTTTACATCTGTTCTTCAATCATTTCCCTTAAGTTCTTTCATAATCCATCAAATCTTTATATTCTCTATATTCTTCTATATTCGCTTTTGGCTAACATCCTATAACCTTTTAAATGTGTTTGTGGAGGGGGCGTATTGGTTTGTGGCTTTGTTTTGTTTTTTTCTTGTTTTATTATGCATTTTGTGCTTGTATGCATCTTGTATCTTGATGTTGTCAATTGGCCTGAGATCTACAGTTGAAGGAGGGTATACTTATTAAATAAATGAAATGAACCCTGGTCACATTCCGAACCAAGAGTGGCATTCAAATGCGATGCACTTCCATGTGACCACTAGGTGTCTCTCTCATCTCAAACATCCTGCACAAGCAACTTTCACTGAGGCAGAGAAGTTCTGGAGGGCCTAAATTTTGGACCAGGAATGAGGAACCGGTGGCCCTCAAGATGTTGTTGGTCTACACAGATTGAGAAAAGCTTCCCCCCCACACACACACAACTCTAGAACACATGGACATCCAGTGAAACTGCATGTTGGAAGATGCAGGCCAGATACAGTGGCTGTTGTTGGTTAGTCGTTTAGTCGTGTCCAACTCTTCGTGACCCCATAGACCAGAGCATGCCAAGCCCTCCTGTCTTCCACTGCCTCCCACAGTTTGGTCAAACTCATGCTGGTAGCTTCGAGAACACTGTCCAACCATCTCGTCGTCTGTCGTCCCCTTCTCCTTGTACCCTCCATCTTTCCCAACATCAGGGTCTTTTCCAGGGAGTCTTCTCTTCTCATGAGGTGGCCAAAGTATTGGAGCCTCAGCTTCACGATCTGTCCTTCCAGTGAGCACTCAGGGCTGATTTCCTTCAGAATGGAGAGTTTGGATCTTCTTGCAGTCCATGGGACTCTCAAGAGTCTCCTCCAACACCATAATTCAAAAGCATCAATTCTTCGGCGATCAGCCTTCTTTATGGTCCAGCTCTCACTTCCAGTGATACAGTGGTACCTCGGGTTAAGTACTTAATTCGTTCTGGAGGTCCATTCTTAACCTGAAACTGTTCTTAACCTGAAGCACAACTTTAGCTAATGGGGCCTCCCGCTGCTGCCACGCCGGTGGAGCACAATTTATCTTCTCATCCTGAAGCAAAGTTCTTAACCCAAGGTACTATTTCTGGGTTAGCGGAGTCTGTAACCTGAAGCATATGTAACCTGAAGTGTATGTAACCCGAGGTACCACTGTACAAGATAGTACTGTACTTCTTCCCTCAGCGCATAGTCAAACTTTGGAACTCACTGCCACTGGAGACAGTGATGGCCACCAACTTGGATGGCTTTAAAAGAGGAGTGGGTAAATTTGTGGAGGAGAGGCTGCCTTTCTTAGGAACACCTCTTCAATTACTTCCCCTTGACCCAGAATCTAACCGCTATGCTCTACTTCCACAGTTCTAAAAAAATGCAACCTGTGCTGCTGTTAGAAGTAGTGCGACTCATACAACACATTGGAAATTAATATACACAGAACAATAATTATACATTCTTTATCAACCTTCTGAGAAAAATGCAAAACATTAAACAAAGCCACAGAGACTTGTGAACTGCCCAGCCTAAGATGAACTTATAATGTCTGGTTTCAATAGATTTTTCAAATTCTTAACTCAGTCTTTTGGTTAAGTTATTCACAATACCGAGAGATGCTAGTGGAGTTGTTGATAGATGTTAATAAAGTTGTAGACAATGAAGTTGTAGACGACAGGGTGCCGGCGTTTTGCACCTGTTTCGCCCTGGCAGTCCAAGTAATCTAGAGACAAACAGCGGGCACAACTCCACTAGCATCTCTCGGTATTGTGAATAACACAACTTACCTTTGGCTTGTATCTTCATGAACTTATCCAACAGACTATCCAAGGCAGCAGAGATATGAGATGATCAGAGCCCCACCCGAACTTGAAGCATGGGAAGTCCCAACAAAAAAATTATAATTTAGACAGAATAGTTGGACTATTTGATATGTATTTGTATAATTTGGAACATTTAACGTGATTTGATTGGATTGTTAAAATGGGAAACTTAGTAAAAAATATTTTAAAAAGAAGAAGAAGAAGAAGAAGACCACTCCAAACTGCAACATCTTGTTGCAGTTCCCATTTGCACTGTCTCTTTTTTAATGGGTGCTCCAATTGGTTCTTAAGTCTAACAATTGATCAATGTATGAGTGGCCTAACAGAATTGAATGAAAAGCCTGCCTAGTCCAGCTTCTTTTTTCCAACCAGATTTTTCTAGGAACCTTCCCAGCATTCCTGGTTCAGGGGTTTGAAGGCCACTCAAACAGGAATTCCTCCATGGACTCTCACCTCACTGCCATTAGCACCTGTTGCAGTGTTGGCAGGGTGCCAGCTGAGAGCTAGGGATGTCTTAAGCATATGTGGTGCTGGGGTGCAAAGATTCGCCTGGCACGCCCCCCGGTTGCCCAGTCCCAGGTGTGCAGGAGGGCAGAGCAAGCTGGCCACCTCAGCATCTCGCTGGCTCAGTCGCCCCAAACTCGCAGCGCAGCAGAAGAGCCCTTCGCAGTGCTCCAACTGACTGGTGGGCTCTTCCCCAGACTCAACTCTCGGGCCCCGGACTCTCAGCCTGGCGCCCCTGAGAGCCCAGCACCCGGGTGCCCCGCACCCCTAGCACCTATGGGTAAGACGGCCCTGCTGAGAGCTGCTCCACTTCAGTACCTTCCAATATGGTTCTTTTTTTAATGGCTCCAAGTTGTTGTCTTTTCTGCTTTGCAATAAAAGCAAGGAAGCTGGTTGATGGGCCTAGCTGCTGCAGGAGTTAAACCGGTCGCCTCTATGGAAATGATGTTGCATCGCAAGCCGTGCGCAAAGGACATGGCTTTTTGCAATGCAATCTTATCAGCCATCCTTAGGAGGTGCCCCTCAGGAGATGCACCCATTGTCCGAGGCCAAATCCAATCAGATTAGCTGAAGAATGAAAACCACCACCTGTCTCCCTGCAAGAAAGAATCTTATCATGGTAAGTTAAGGAAGCACACCGTTTGCCTGCAGTTTTTCCCCCCATGGTAGCTAAAGTCTGTAAGTTCTTATACCACAAAGACTTACAGGCAGAACATACTAGGTTCAGTCCCAAACATTTACAGGTAGGGCTGGGAGAAATCCCTGTCTGAAATATCGGAGAGCTACTGCCAGCCAGTGGGGGACAGTACTGATGTAGATAGACTAAAGGTCTGACTCTGTATCAGGCAACTTCCTAAGTTCTTAATGTTGTAGGGGGGAAATCAGGGTTGGCTTTTGCTGCCCAGCTCCCCAAGGGACACTGAGTCCCCTGAGTCCATGATTGGTCAGAGAAGAATGGATGGAGGCAGGTTCCAGTGAAAGGCAAGGCAGATCTTTATTTTTCTGTACCTACCTTGCAAGGATGTAAGAGAGACGCATAGCAAAGGTGTGCAAACCCTTTTAAAGACTAGACATTGCCCAATCCCCTTAGACCAGAGGCCGGCAATGTGTGGCCCATGGGCCAGAAGCAGCCCACAAGCCACTGCAGAACCAAGCCGCCCACTTGGCAAGTCCTGTCACACTGC